TCATTCCTATTTCTTTTTTAATGCCTGCACTTTGCACCATGTACAATAGTTGGCTTATAATTGTACTATTAAAATTTCTCTTTCAGTTTTTCTTTGTTATTGTTGTATTGCATAAAACGCCAGTAGCCTGTCTCTGTCTTGTCCAAATTACTCCGATTCTACTAGTTATATGACCATCTGTCTTTCCATTTTTTTTTTTCTGTGTTATTGATTCTAAATATTGAAAATGGTTACTTTGAATAATCCTTTGGTTCTCAAGTGTGGTACCATCATATAGCATTTTTAGTAAATAGTTACCTCTTTGTTACCTTTTAGCATACGAAAGTAGCATTTTCAGTAGATTGAATTTGAAATTCTTAGTTTTTAAAGGGTCCCATACTCCCATGTAGCCTCATTACTAGGGTTAAACATGAGCTTGAAATTCAAAGCAATTCGTTGTCTTCAGCCATTTTTGTTAGTTAATTTTGTGAATTTTGGTTTATGGATTTACATCAGCACTCCACAGTTGAAATAAAATTTATACGAGTTTATCAAAATCAAGATTGGTCATTCATGTTTGTTTGTACTGTCAAGGTGCAGCTATTTTTTTCTATGTTCTCTCCACATTCAGCCAGTATTTTGCTCCATCCAACTTGCAGCTAAGACTAGACGCCTCTGTTGAGTGCTTGCAGTTCTACTGCAGTTGGATTTGTGTCAGGGTCCATATGCTTGGAGAGTTGAAGTTCCACTGCAATTGCGATCCGTAGCTTATGTATGAACTTTTATTAGCTTGTGTTAACCTGCGTAAAATAGAACTTTTGGTTTAATTTCAGGCAAGAGCTCTTATTTCAAAGTTGACAAAGGGGAAAAGCTACTGCAATTCAACAAAATAACAGGTTTCTTCAGGAACTGGTGAGGGATTCGTTTACGACTTCATTCTATAATATTTTATATTCTTCTATATTAAGCTGGAATACTTCTAAAGTCCTTTCAATATGGTATCTTTGTCTCCCCCATCTCATGTCCAAATTATCTTTTTCAGTGTCTTTGGTCATCATGTATATTTTTATATGAATATATAGATTTATGTATTTTTGGTGTCATGAGGCTAGAAATATGGAAGTTACATTCTATAAAGAATCATTGTATGGGTAATTGAACAAATTGTTGATGCATGAACACTTAGAGATAGTTAACAATCAGAAAAACAACTGGTGTAATTTATAAGAGATTTGTGCCGATTGCTATGCTAATTAATGACTTTATCCCTTTGGTGTTTCAACAATGAGAATAAGCTTACATGGGGTCTTGATCATTAAGTAAACTAAATGGATATTTAGTTGTCTCTGTGCAATGCTGAATATAACAATTATTATCTGAGCCTTGTTCAGTATAACTTATGTTTCATAGCTATGGTCCTTACAAATGCAATTATGTACAAAATAATGTCATAATGTTGTATAAAAGTAAACAGTTGAAATTGCTAATGTTCTGGTGGAGCGGGTTGATTTGGTTTTGGCCTTTTGGCTATGGTTTTTCAGATCAGGTGGACGGGTAAGTGTTGGTGTAAGAGTGTTTCGGTGCATAACAATGTATTGTTGTGTTAGAAACATTTTCGAATGGAAACATATTTTGAAATGATGCACATGGTCAATTGGTGAAATCATGGATTTTCATGGATTACTCTTGACTCAAAACTTCGTAAGGCTATCTAGTTTGCAAGATCTAAGAGTGAGTTCAGTCTGTTCAGAATTGGGTGTGTAGTTCGTTTTCTTTATAACCCTTACCATAAAGAACTTCCGCTCCCTTCAATTGTAGTGTTGGGTAGCATATCTGCTCAGCAATTATATGGCATGCATCCAAGTTGATATGATTTGAGGGTGTTGACGTTCTTCTGGATTCCTTCTTCTTTTGTTTCTTTAATTTTAAGTTTGAAAGTGATAGAAGTTGACCCAAGATCAACTAATTATTTTCATTGTATTGGTAGAGATTAAGAATAAAGATTGAACGTTGTGTTCCAAGGTTATTCAGTGGAATGTGCTCACCAAGTTAGGATAGATTTCTAATTACTCTTTGACATTGATGGAGCACAGGTTACGTTGTCTATATCTTTAAAATTCACTTGAAGTTACCTTCTCCGTAGTGTATGTTTCTTCTCTTAAAATAGTTCATTTCTTATTAGAAAATGCTCTTAGATTTGAGGGCATGAGTTTCTAGACAGTAGACAATTTCGGATGTTTGACATCTTTTCTTGAATTTCCCTGAGTTTCGGATTGGTAAAGAAGGGGAAAAAAAGGGGGAAACAAGGTTTAAGGATAGGATAAAATTTTTTCTTGCTTCAAAGATGTGCTGTTGATATATAATTTAATTGTTTGTTATATAGTACCGTTTCCTTTGAACCATGGAAGTGGTTCATCTCTATGAGATTACAATGTGTAGCAACTCTTGAGGCGTGACAGTAACAAAAGTTCTTGTAATGCCTCCTTCATGTTTGTCATCATTATCTGGTTGCTTGGTATCATTTTGGGGTAGCTCATGAAGAAAACATAACCATTCGTCCAGTTTCGTTCATGTTTGTTATCATTGTCGGGTTGCTCGGCATCATTTTGAGGTATCTCGTGCAGAAAAGAACCATTCATCCGGTATTCATCTTTTGCCATATATTTTTCCTTGCAATTTCTCTCTGCCCCACCAAAAAAAAATTTAAAAAAAAAAGAGATTCAGTAGTAGAGGGTAGTGTTTTAATTTAACTTTGGGGCATGCATTACAAAAACAGTTTAGGTGGGATAATGGGTTTTGTGGTTGGTAAAAACTGCAAATTATTGTTTTGGTGATGGTAAAAACTGCAAATTATTGCTTTGTCAACATGTTTTCTTCTGGTATTTCAATACAAGAGATCCTGGAAATGCTTGAATACTGGGGCACTGGTTTGGTGCAGTAAAGTTTTTATGTTTCATCCAAATTTGTTGCTATTATCAGATAATCACACCGGACTTGTCAATCTTATTCATCTTACCTTATGTGTTACATAGGCTGCCAGTGTTACTGAGAATTAAGAATATGCTGTGGGATTTATTGACAATTCAGACAAATTTTCAATGTATATATCATATTACGACAAGCGCAGCGAACCAAGCTATATATCATGGTCGGTAGCTTTTCTTTCCCCATAAAATCTTGAAATAGAATATTATCTTATTATACAAATTGGGGAATTTTATGTGTTCCTTTTGAACTTTGAGAGGCTTTGTATAACCACACCCCCACACTTTTCACTCTTATGAGACAACTACGGTCCTCTTCTACTGTTTTCGCTTGGAACAATATGAACAACAGTTTCAGGAAGGTTTTGGGCAAGTTTTTTTTTTTTTTAAAATGAATATTCATCTAGAAGGATGAGTGTTTAATGTGAAATTAATCACTAAAAAAATAGCTTCCTTGTCATTTCTTAAATCTAAGAAATTTTGGTCCGGTCCATTAGTCAAGAGAACATCAGAAAGTCTGTAATTTTCATCAATCACAACTCGATATGTAAGCAGATGTGTTAACTAAATTTTGATACAAGCTGATAAATAAAACTGATATATTCAAATTATAATTGATTGAAATTACCATGATCAGTGGACTTTAAGTGAACATCATAAAGTCTGTAATATTGGATGAATGAAGTACTTTCTGGTTTGAAGTAAAGCATTGATTTTCCTGTTTTCAATTTTTGTTTTCTCTCAATTTCTCGGGAATTCTCTTTGTTTGGCAATCAATAAAAAGATACTGGAGGTTGTGATATTAGGTACCAACCAGCCAATAAACACTCATAATTTTATTTCTTACATTAATTTAACTACGTCCAACATCTAATAATTTGAATTTTTTTTTTGTTAAATGACAATTTATACTTGCTATATTACAAATACAAACCCTATTCAATATTGAATATAATCCATATTCAATATGCTTAGATGAGACTAATGATGTTTTAATTTATGTGCTGACTATAACTATATATAACATTAATGTAGCTATCTATAAATCCTTATTTCGAGGGCTTTTTTCCTCTTTCAGTTATATATTGATTAACCTCAAAAACACTCTTGAACTGGTTTTGATCAGGTCCAATATTGTAATGATTAATACCCTGCCAAAAACAAAAAATTCATAAAAATTGAACACCATCCACAAGGGTAGAAATGTCAATTTGTTTGCTGGTCAACCAAGAAAGAAATAGGGTTTCACCTTTGAAGCCAGCTTTCCTGCAAAAAAATCAGGCAGCAGGACAGAGCCAGGTCTGTGACTCTATGCGGTGGGAGATAGTAGGTTATACCATTTTGGCCTTACTCTTTTCCTGTACATGCATGTGTTAGTGCCTCTTGCTTTGAAAAAAAAAATAAAAATAAAAATAATGTACAAAATAAATAAAATAAAAAACATCAAAATAGAAATCTGAATATATAGCATATCGATTTTTTTTTTTTTTTTTCATCTTTCTTTTTTCTTCTAATTCTAAGTCTCTTTATTCAATTAACCTTGAAAAACTAGGTCTGCTTTTATCATTTTTCTTAGTCAAGTAAAATTTGTACCCATTTGTACTATGTTATACATTTTATCCTAAACTAACAAAGTAATATGCTTTTTATTAAAAAGCAAGAGAACTTTAATACGTGCACACAGAAATGGACGCTTTATTAATTAAGTTACTCTCTAAAAATATAATGTACATTAAAAAACGTATAAAATCTAACATTTTATCTAAGTACTTGCTCTGTTAGGGACAGGGACCATATGGTTTGCGGAGCTTATTATGAATTTATTATTGATATGAATTGTACTAAATGTAACCATTGAAATATAAAAAAAAATGTCTGAAATATAAAGGTTGCATACCGTTAATAAATTGTACTAAATGTAATCATTGCAATTAAAAAACAAAAAATTGTCTGAAATATAAATGTTGCATACGGTTTCTGTACACTCTATGTATGTGGCCACGTCATGGTTGAGAGTACAGTGGTATCCAATATGTTTACGGGCTACCCCTTCAAAGGAGATCATACCCAAAACCCCTCCGGTACTCATCTTCTTCTCACTCAAGTTAATTAATTTCTACCGTACTGTTAATTTCCTTTGCAATCTATACCTACAATCCTATATATATATATATATGTATATATGATACTGTTATATATGTGATATAGTGGCAGGGGAGCCATATCGTGAGATGAAGCTGGTGAACGGAGGCTTCTGCTGCATCAGATTTGACGTACCGGTCTAACCACAAAGGATCTGAGTGTGTGGATGGACGATTTTGGCGGTATAAGGTTTGGGGGAAAGTGCCAGAATGAGCCCAAGTATGAGGAGGAGGGAAGGTTCTATGGAGCCACCATTCCACCATGTCCTATGGTCTTACAAATGGACCAAGTCAAGGCTGAGTTGAAACATGGTGTTCTCTGGGTTACTCTCCCACTTACCCAACTTGCCAAGGAGCCAAGAATGTTCCAAATGTTGCAGAAAAGTAAGATTTGATCCATCTTTGATTTGGGATTTTGGTTTTTTTTTTTTTGAGTTTTCGGATATATGGGTTCTTGGTTGATTTTGTTCATCTCTGTTTTTAATTATATAATATTTGGATGACTGAAGAACTCTTGGGTTTGAAGTAAATCATTGCATTTTTTATTTTCTATCACCTTTTCTCGGGAATTCTCTTTTGTGTTTGGCAATCGAGAAAATATAGTGGCGGTTGATAACGTGCGCCATAGGTCTTCAAACAAACTAATTGACGGTTATATCTGTGTTTTCTTGCCTGATACACATTTGCCCTACTAATTTGGTTATAAATACTCTCTTATTCACTGTTATTCAACCATCTCTCTCCTCTCAAAAAGCAAACTTACTATAACTTTCCCCTTAAGCTGCTAGAATGTCAATGGTAAATTATGGCTTCTCTCCTCTTTCTTTAAAAATTCTGGTTTCTCTCCTCTTTCTTTAAATAATCACTACCTTTTTATTTTATCCAGTTCTTTTGTTTTAGTTTCATCCCATGTTCAATTGTAATAAACTGAAAGAGTACATTAATATTGAATTATGCATTTAATTCGTGTTTTTCTGTAATTTTTCAACCTGTAGATTCAAAAGGAAAATCCTCCTCTGTTCATGTATGCAACAACTAAATAATGTTTTCTAATTCAATGCCAATGGCTATGACATATAGGATGAATATTGGATTATGCATTTAATTATGAGCATGAAATCACAGAGAAGAAAAATGATTTAATTTTTGTATTTTGATACATGGTTCTACAAACTGATTTACAAACAATTAGAAATCTATAAATATCATATTTGTGAAAATCCTTTAATTGCCAAAAATGACGAAAACACTCTTTATCTTCTTCTATAGGAAGTAGAAAACACTCTCGTTCATGAAGATAGAAAGAATTTCAATGAATAGCTCAAATTCGTGTGTTTTTCAGTCTAGAAAGCCATAGATTACTTCACACTCTAGAGCTAGTTAGTAAAAGCCCTAAGGAACAAAATTACCACATTGAGAAAACTGTTAAGAGTGTAGTAACAGTAACAGGTTATAGGGAACAGTAACAGGTTATAGGCCAACATAGTTTTTCACCAAAAGCTGCATTTGATATCCAATATGTTTTAATATCTTAATTTTTTATTTGGAATTTGACTAGTTTTAGTATTTTAACACTTTTTTTTTTTTTTTTAATTGGTAGTCACACACGCGCTTCCACTGAGGCTCTAACTCCTGACCTCTCTTTGAGAAGTAGGGCTTGGTACCGCTAGACTATTGGTCTGTTGGTTAGTATTTTAACTCTCAATTTGTTGCTTTTGTTATCCTAATATTATATTGTGATACGACAGAAATTTAATTTCAACATCTGGGATTACCTTGTTTGTTTTTTTGTTGAAATCAATTAGAACATGTGGTTTTCATTTAATTATTATTTTTGTATATATAACTGTAAGGAAATACGATGAAGCATTCACATGAAGCATCTTTATTAGCCTTTTGTGCAGATTTGCCTTTGCAACTTACCTTCTAATATGGAGTTTTTCTACTAGTGTTAATACTTATCTTAAGCTAAATTTCTACACATGAATATTCCCAATCAACACTTGTTTGTGTGTTTGATTTGGATCGTAAACTTTCTTGTAACTCCCTTTTGTTTTTTTAATGTAAATGTGAAGTGTTTCTATGAAGAATTTACATTTGGTACATGACCTATACAACTATATATATGTGATATTTTCTCTTTCATTTTCAGGGTGCGTGTGGCAGGTGCGAGAAGAAGCTAACTAACCGTCAATTAGATTGGATCCTCCTCAGCTTCGCCACCTCCTCTTTGAGTAAATCATGTTAATGGCCGAACTGCAGATGTTTCACTAGTGGTCGCTCTGAGAAGTTCACACTGTGACTTGGGCGGCTGAAATTACAATCCTTCATCGGACAGTAGACTCTCTTCCTGGTCACATCCACCCGACCTGTATAAGCAAGCTCAATAGCCATTTGACGGTTAGTTACATTTGGTACAATGACCTATACAACTAGATATGTGTGTAATGTTCGTGTGGCAGCTGCGAGAAGAAGCTAACCAACCATTTATATATGTGTGATGTTCGTGTGGCTTCTGCAAGAAGAAGCTAACTAACCAATTATATAATTTTGATGTTTGTGTGGCAGCTGCGAGAAGAAGCTAACTAACCATCAAATGGCTATTGAGCTTGCTTATACAGGTCGGGTGGATGTGACCAGGAAGAGGGTCTACTGTCCGATGAAGGATTGTACTTTCAGCCGCTCAAGTCACAGTTCACACTTCCTAGAGCGACCACTAGTGAAACATCTGCAGTTCGGCCATGAACATGATTTACTCAAAGAGGAGGTGGCGAAGCTGAGGAGGATCCAATCTCTAATGGATAAATGGGCGGACAGGTGACTTGCGTGCTCATAGTCTTGCACATTGTCATATGCATCGCTGTTGTTGTGTTTACCCTCATTGATTTCAACAATTAGCTGCTTCCACCACAGATTATATTGAGGTGACTGATTTTGGATGATATTGTGGTCGACTGTTTTTGGATGATATTGTGGTTGACTATTTTGCTTCATATTGCGATTTGACTGACTGTTTTTGAATGATATTGTGGTTGACTTTTGGTTCATATTGTGATTTGACTGTTTTTGACTACCTTTGAATACCTATGGAGGATGATGCATTGTTTTTAATAGGGGAGAAAATAAGTAAATTATTCTACTGCTCAAAAAATTTGTCAAAGATGTCTCCTTTTCTGCTTATTTGCCAGGGAATAAAATGAAAAAAGAATGCTTGTTTCTTTCTCACTGTAAACCCCAGATGGTGGCAAGAAAAAGACCTCGGCTAGTGATGTCCATCACAAAATATATGAAGCCAAGAGATGGAATGCCTCCATCTTTCTCTTCTACTACTGCTGATTAATATTGGCATGAGGTGCTGGTGCCATGAAATGGAGTATTTTTCCAAGAACGGAAAAGAGAAAGGGCCATAAAGTTAACAGAGCAGAGAGAGAGAGAGTTCAAGCACACTGGATGATCATTTTCTCGACACAAGGAAGGCACAGCAACAGGATCCCTTACTCTCACGAATTTGAAGCAGCTTACCAGTATCAGCAGCCTTCTGAAGCTGCTAGCTATAGAATTAGACAATCCTGAACCATGAGTACACATATTGCAAGAAAAACCTATGTTCATGGATTTCTTTGACCAAATTGGACTCTCATCGATCCCCTCCAAGGTGGTGAAAGACGAGAAAGCGATGTATGCAAGGTGGGGCATGCCGGGAATAGGAATAGAAGGGCTGAAGATGTGGATTGAAAACAACACTCTGCACGTAAATGGAGAGGAAAAGGAAAAGGAGGAGGAGGGGGGAAAGAGTTTATCAGCCTTAGATCGGAGGAAGTACTCCGGCAACATGGACATCCCTCACGGCTGCTACAAGGTGGAAGAGATTCTAGCGGATCTCAAGAATGGTGTGCTCAATGTCAAGATTCCAAAGAGAAAAAACATTATCAATGTCCAGGCCAATAGGACTCCTTTTATTTTAGATATTTTTCCGTGATACATCTTGCCACTTTTTTATTCATCCCTTTTCACTGTAATCTATTCCCAAGACGAATGTCAAGGCCAATAGGAGTAGCTTTTTTTTTTTTTTTTTTTCTGTTGTTTGGATCGGCGATAAACGAAAGTGAAATTTTAAGACTCAGGTAAGTCATTTTTAATTTTGTTCTCTCTCAAACTAAAATTTTAAATTTTGATTCTTTTGGTACCTTTGCTTTTGGGCTTAGTCTTCTTGTTACTTGTGATTGTTTCAATGGTCCATTCTTGAATCCAGATTGGGTTGTCTTGGGCCAAAGAACTCATTTTGTTGCACATATTCTATATTTATAAATTGCTTCAATTTTTGTACAAAAAAAAAAAAAACTCATTGTCCTTTCTTAATCAAGCAATCAACATGAGTAGTCTAGAATTACATTATCTCAGTTAATCACAACTTAGATGGAAGTAAATGTATCAGCTTTATTAAGATATATATTTTTTTCTTACATGTTGAGTTTTAATTGGACCATATAATTTTTTTTTTCCAATCTACATAGAATTTGGAAGCCCCATTCAATTGGTGTTGAAGTTGTGAAAGCTTGTATTTACCTAAGTGCGTTTGGATACATAGGAGAGAAAAAAAAAAGAAGGATAATATTACTGAAGAAAGAAAATAAAAGAAAATAAATGATAGTAATAATTTATATTCATATTTGGATAGATAGGGAAAAAAAGAAAAGAAATAGTAATTATTCTTGTTCGGACAAGATAGAAGAGAGAAGAAGGAAAAAAAAAAAAATAGTAATCAAATTACTGTCTTACCCTCTCATAATAATTAGGACTTAAATGGAATAACTTTTTTTTGTATATTGAATTGTGGAGGCTAGTTTGGGTATTATTAAAATATCACTTACTCCACTGTGCTATCTCTCCCTATCTTCATTTCTCAAAATGGGAGAGAAACCAAATGAGATGTGGGGAGGGATAGCTATCCCTCCCTATCCCTCTCTATCTCTTCCTATCATCTCTCTTCTCTACACTTAACCCATTCAAACACACTCACACGCATGCACAGATCTATGAAAGGCTCAGTGGGGACATGCGCCCCCATTGAAATTTTTTATTAGTACATTTTATATCTCTAAATTTATACTTTTTTGCATTTATATCCATAAAATTTTAAAATTCTTCACACTAAAATTATGAAAAAACCCATCTATATAAATTTACCCCCCTCATATGATTTCCTAAATTCGTCCGTGCTCACATCATATCTTTTTTTTTTCTTTTCTCTCCCTGTCCCTCCAAATCAAACCACCCAAACAAAAAAATTAAATCTATATCTGTCTCTATTTATACTATTATTAAAAGTTTCAAATCATTGAAGGCAATTAAAATTCTGGTCAATTATTTAATACCAAAAAAAGTCATTTAGTTGCATCAAAATTTCTCTGCCCATACACTCCTAATACAAGCTTAATACAAAGAGAATAAATTCATGGTGTGAAAATACATCTATTTGTATAGTTGAGAGGGACATCAGTGCACATCCAAAAGTTGAAACTCTATGTCTAAGTCCTATCCAATTAAAGTTCCGTCTACATCTGGACAAAAAATTTCTTAGCCTGCCATATTTATATACTGATCGATGCACGATATATACACGATATATATATACACACCAATACAGTCGTACGGATATCAGAGATTTTGTTCCCCGAACAGGGTGCTGTCCTCTATTTATATAGGGAGATTTTTTTTTTTTTTTTTTTTTTTTTTTTTTTTTTTTGGGTAAAATATACAGGGAGACTCATTTAACCATGAGAGAGAGATTTGGTTGGGCAATCTAGTTACACTTTTTTAAGGAATAAGATAATTTTTTATTTTTTATTTTTCAAAAATTTAAGCAATTTTCATTAAGTAAAGAACTGTACAAAAGTAGGGCTTGGCCATAAGAAAAGCAAACCCAAGGCTACAAAACAGGTCCAAACTAGGACAAACATACAAGCAAGATAGACACCACTAACTACCGTTAATGGTGAGCATCAATACACTCCGGTGAAAACAAAGAAGGGGTAATGCCTTGATGTCTCAGTCTGGCAACTGAGGAGGAGGCCTACAACATGAAGAAGATAAATCCCAATTCATAAGGATCAATTTCGCCGTATTGCATTCTCTCATATAGCTAAGCTTCAAAATACTTGTTATTGTGGAGCATACTTTTGCACAGACAACTCTCTGGGATGATTTGTGTCCTCTAAAAATTCGAGCATTTCTCTCTTCCTAGGTATGGTATACCAAAGCCGATAAACATAATTTCCTATGTAAGTTAATAGGAGTGTTTGTTTTCCATTCAATACTAATCCACATTACAAGATTCTCCCAATTTGTGATTGCTGTGTGAATGTTGCTCCTGTATTTGATAAAACGCCATAGAGGGGAGGTGAAGGTGCAATTAAAAAATAGATAATCATGGGACTCACTTGATATGTTGCAGAGGGAGCAAATGTTGTGGTGTTTAGCCATAGATTTAATGTCGAGTGTTGGTAGTTTGTATTGAACAGTCAGCCAAAGATTGAATTTCATTCTTGGTATGATTGGAGAATGCCAAACAAGGCTGTGCCAAGGGACAATAGGAAGGTCACCAACCATGTGTGCCACAATGTGTTTGAATGAGTAGTTGCCATTAGGTGAAACTGTCCACTTCTAGAAGGGCATGGAGGTGGTAGTGCAAGCAATTCCGGGATTGCACAAGTAAAAGAGGGAGGAAATGACCAGTTGCTGTCAACAATGAATGTATCCACAGTTGTTGTACCATTGAAGCTAGCTGCAGTGAGTAGATGAAGTGGAAATCTTGAACATAAAGGACCTCCTGGAGCCCAATTGTCCCACCAGAAAGAAGTGTTAGCACCATTGCCTATAGAGTGTTTTATGAGTAGTCTAGCAGGATGCCTTAGTTGGAGGAAACCTCCAACTCCAAGAGCATGGCTGTGGGTAGTTCAATAACCATAGGTTTCTGGACTTCAGTAGATGAGAGTTGCACCACCTTACCCACAATCTGTTTGTGTCTTCTTTGAGAATGTCCCAAATAAATCTGATTATTCCAACCTTGTTCGCAATCTCCAAATTGGGGATCCCCAAACCACCTGCAGATTTAGGACTACACACCCTACTCCAAGCTACCTTAGAACCAGAAGACTTCATTTCTGGCCCTGACCACAGAAATCTCCCAAAAATCTTGTTGAGTTCATCAATTACTCCCTTTGGCAAAATGAAAATGTTGTACCAGTAGTTTTGAGTTGACACCAATACTGAATTTATCAATTGGAGTCTACTTGCATATGAGAGAGATCTGGAAGTCCAATTTCTGATTTTGTGAGTAATTATGCTTACTAATAGACTGCAATGCTGAGACTTCAAGTTTGTAGAGATCAATGGCACTCCAAGGTATCTCACTAGCAGTGTGCCTGATTGAATTCCTAGCAATGTAATAATTTGATGCTGTGTGTGGTCATTTACACCAGAAAAGTAAACCTCACTCTTTGATAGGTTGATGTCTAGGCCTAACATAGAGCAGAATGAATCAAGAGCTGATTTGAGGACTGAGACTGAGGCAATATTTCCATGGCAAAATAGTAACAAATCATCTGAATAGGAAAAGTGAGTGATTTTGTGTTCTCTGCACCTCTAATGGAACTTGAAAGAGGACACCCTTCCGATATAATTGTTGATAATTGAGGAGAAAACACTCATTACAATCACAAACAGGAGATAACTTTTTAGTTCCTATACATAATAAGTGATTATATAAACAGATATTCCAATTATGAATGAATGATCAATATTTATTTGAATTAATTAAAAATAATTAAACACCTCTAAATCATGGTTCATATTGTAACAACTTGGTGTAAATTAACCGAATTAATTAATTTATGTAGGTATTACAAAAATATTACAAATCACGATTGATTAAAATCAGTGAGTTAGTCTGTTGATCACTGATTTGTAAAAAAAATAAAAAAAATAATAATAATAAATAAATAAATTGTCTAAGAAAAGTCAATTTCTTGAGTAGGTTTCACTTTCACACCTTATATTTTACAAAATATATGCGATAAATATATAACAATATAACAATCTGCTTTCTATATTGCGAATTTGAGATATATGGCAATTTATTTTCTTTTCGTATTTTATATTTATTTATTATTATGTGGGTCCATAACACAGATTAATTAGTTCATTCATACTGAAATCGATCCCGCATGTGCATACATAGATTTGAATGTGTAAAATATTAAATTAAGTTTGACATTCTCACACATCCAACAATATTAATCTTACCAAATTTAGTGAACTTATGAGTGTTGGCTATGATTAATTTATACAAATTAATACCTGAAAACCTTATTATAATCCTTATTTTGGAAAAACCCTATTTCACTTTTATCAAATCAAAGCTTTAGAGGGCTGATATGTAAACTAGCTTTTGTCTGTTCATTTACACGTGCGTGACTTTTACCCATATCCTCCGCACAAGGCGCATGTTAGCCATCTCTGTTGTTGTATCACCGCCATTGACAACCTCTGCTTAACCTAACCAGCCTCATCTTTGTTTCAAACTTCCCAAATTTCTCTCTCTCTCTCTCTCTCTCTCACACACACACACACACACACATAAAACAACAAAAAAATAAAGTTCAGTTGGGATTTGGGAACCCTCAAACAAAAGATCCATCAACTACACAGAGCATCGACATTTTTCAAAGCTTCAAAAACCAGAACATAGTGATATCAAAAGAGATCAATCGATCAATGAAAAAAACCTAAAAAAGAATTAAGCAAACAGGATGAACATAGATGAGCTCGGAAGGACAGCGATGGAAGCTCAGTTGTTGATTTTAATGGTGGTGATGCCTTTCCATTTGGAAATGACCATCTTCTGTACACCGTTTCTCATCTTCACCTCGATCCGGTCCTTCTCATTTCCACCTTCACAAATATTGATTGACCCAGAGAACTTCCTCCGACCATCGTATTTCTGGTCCTCCTCCTCCTCATCATCATCATCTTCATCTTCATCTTCATCTTCATCAGCATCATCATCATCATCAGAATCTTCTTCTTCTGCATCAGAATCTTCTTCTTCTGCATTGATCTTGAACGAAATTCCATGGAAATTGAACTCTGCCAGAACCGAGTCGTCTCTCTCTTTAAAAAGACGAGGGAGGACCCTTCATCTTTCTAGGAATCGATTCTTTAAAGGACACACTGTGCACTCAAATTCAAATATATATAAACACTACATATATATATATGTATATGTATACGTTAGAAGCCATTTAAGGGTGTTTTGTGGTTACCTTTGGGAATTGGGGTCCCCGAATCGGCACAGTCGGAGGCTGAAGCTTTGATCAATGGAGCTACACTGCGAGTAGGGAAGCGAGCGAACGAAGTCGTTGAGGGGAAAGGTCTGATGAAGTGGGTGTTGAGATGGGTTGCTGAGGACGCCATTGACGCAGCTTTCTAGGTTTTCTGGATATTCACTGTGTGACTGTGTGTGAGAGAGTGAAGATGGTAGAGACTGGCTGGGTAGAGAGGTTTCTATTCTATACATGGACCGGATGTGTCACGTGACCACGGTTAGAGCATTTCTGTTTTCTATTAGCTGGCTGGCGAGAGCAAATTACTTTGCTGTATCGCACCAGTCTTAACGCTCTAGACCGGCCGTTGGATGTTTTTAATGGTGAATTCAATTAAAAGCGAATCAGTTTATTATTGATAAACATGGATACTGACTAATTTATTAAAAGATGTAATTCACTTGCAGTACACAGACCCAGGGCTGCAAATGAACATAATCGAGCTGAGCTTCAGGATGTTCAGATTCGGGTTTGAGTTTGGGTTCAGTTCGGTTTTAAACTCGGTTCGTCAAATAAATTAAATAAAACTCATGTTCAAAATCTGTTCAGATTCATTTGCAAGCTCACCAAGCTTGTTCAGAAAATCATTATTTTTTTTTTTTGGTGCTTCCAAAAATTTAATAATTTCAACAAAAAAATAAAAAAACCGGTGTAAACGAGACATTAACGAGTTTATTGTTCATGAACACATACAAGTCTTATAAGAATATATGTTCCCGAACATAAAAGAATTTACACGAGCCGATTCTAATCGAGATCGAGATTGGCTCGTTTAGTAAACGCGCCTAAAAATTGAGATCGAGTTCAGCTCGTTTGCTTAACGAACGATCCTAAACTCGTAAGCAACTCGGTTCATTTGTAGTCCTACACAAACGTCTCTGATTTATTACGTTAATTCTTAAAATGTATGTATTACTATATGAAAATTAGATGTCATTAATAAAGCTCATCAAACAATTTTCAAACTGCAGGCGTGTGCACAACAAATTTCTTTTACCATGATCATTGAGGAACTCTCCACTACATTGTGCCTAAAGTTCATAAATTAGAGAGAGAATTTTGAATTCTCCCGTTTAGCATGCGCTACTGTTTTTATTTTAGGACTATTATAGTATCAATTTTGACAATAAAAACATATATGGTGTAGTCTTATTTTATTTTATACTGTGCTAAAACACTTGGTGATCAAAGGCCCAAAACCAGAACACAAAAAAATTATTTTTTCTTATTTTGACAATTGTTCATAACCCAAAATTATAACTCTTTATGTTTCTCTTTTCGATATTTTCACAGCACAACATCGTTCCCAAATGGACTTTCAATTTTTTTCCAAAACACTCCTATAACAAAAACATTGTTTCTGTTTTAACCAAAAATAAAACACCTAAAAACAATGTTTTAACCAACAAAAGGCAAAAAAAAAACGCATGTCAAACTGCCCTAAATTACTAAATTTTGATACAGTTTATAAATTAAATTGATATATTCAAATTGTAATTGATTGAAATTACCATGATCGATCAGTGGACTTTAAAAAGAATTTTTTTTTTTTGGGTAAGTAACTAGTATTCATATTGCCATAGTGCAATTAAGCATTTCAATAAGGAAACCAATTATCCATCACTTTAATATATGAGAGTGGATCTGTTACTGTACGCAAACTTTACTTGAAATGAAAATAAGCAATTTAACTACTACTATAATAAGGTTGAATATAATTTCTATACATTCTGTATGGCCACGTCATGGTTGAGAGTACAGTATGATCCAAAACTTAATTGAAAACCATTTCAAGTCCGTCCAATTGGATGAGCCAGGTACATACCTCTGCACTCATCTCTTATCACCTTCTCTCTCACTCACAATGTCTCACACACAGTCACACAGTGAATATCCAGACACCCTTTAAAAGCAAAGCTCCATCAATGGCGTCTTCAAGGCCTCTCACCACCGCGTCAAGGGTGTTTTCCATGAAGGTTGAGTTGAAGCATGGTGTCCTCTGGATTACTCTCCCACTCAATGAAGATGCCAAGAAGCTAAGAATGTTTCAATCGTTGGACAAAAGGGGAGATTTGATCCATCTTTGATTTGGGGTTTTGGGTTTTTGTGTGTGTACGTGTGTGTGGCTCTTGGTTGATTTTGTTCATCTCTGGGTTTTGTGAATTAAGCTGGGAAATGTGGCTGAAAATGACAATATTTCATATATAATATTGGATGAATGAAGAAGTACTTTCTGGTTTGAAGTAAAGCATTGCTTTTCCTGTTTTCAAATTTTGTTTTCTCTCACTTTCTCGGGAATACTCTTTTGTTTGGCAATCAATAAAAAGATACTGGAGGTTGCTAAAGTGCGCCATATTTCTTGAATGAGTGTATGATTAGGACATGAAATAGAAAGAGAGGGAATTGATCGGATATGGGTAATCTGAAATTATTGTGTACCAGCCAATAAAGTAATAAACACACCCAATTTTATTTATTACTACATCAATTTAACTACCTCCAACATCTAATAAGTTGAATTTTTTTTTATTAAATGACAATTTATACTTGCTATATTACAAATAAAAACCCTATTCAAATATTGAATATAATCCATATTCAGTATGTTTAGATGAGACTAATGATGTTTTAATTTATGTGCTGACTATAATATAACATTAATGTAGCTATCTATAAATCCTTATTTGGAGGGCTTTTCTCCTCTTTCAGCTATATACGTAGTATTAATTAACCTCAAAAACACTTTTTGACTGGTTGTTCCGTCCTCTCTTCAGTTTTGATCAGGTCCAATATTGTAGTGATTAATACCCCGCCAAAAACAAAAATTCATAAAAATTGAACACCATCCACAAGGGTAGAAATGTCAATTTGTTTTGCTGGTCAACCAAGAAAGAAATGGGGTTTCATCTTTGAAGCCAGCTTACCTGCAAAAAAATCCGGCAGCAGGACAGAGCCAGGTCTGTGACTCTATGCAGTGGGAGACAGTAGGTTATACCATTTTGGCTTTTCTCTTTTCCTGCACATGCAATGTGTTAGTCCTTGCTTTGGAAAAAAACATAAAAAATAAGTAAAAAATAATGTACAAAATAAATAAAATAAAATAAATCAAAATAGAAATCTGAATATATACGTAGTAGCTTATAGTTTTTTTATTTTTTTCGATCTTTCTTTTTTCTTCTAATTCTAAGTCTCTTTATGCAAAACTAGGTCTACTTTTATCATTTTTCTTAGTCAAGTAAAATTTGTATCACATTTGTGCTACGTTCGACATTCTACCCTTAACCAACAAAGATTAACATATTGCATAATTTAAGATATATGATACATATGTGCGATTCAAATGACAAAAGATATATTACGTTAACGCTCTTTTATTAGCGTACAGTACTAAATCATATTGAGATCAAAGTAATATAAATTTTTTTTTTTTTTTTTGGTAATAGATTAAAAAGAAAGAGAACTTGAACACGGACAAACTTGTTAAGAGTGGTGGTCACTTTATCAATTAAGTCACTCTCCAAAAGTATAATGTACATTAAGAAAGTATTAAATATAACATTTTATCTAAGGGTGTTTGGTGCACTGGCAAAGGGAGGAAATGGAAGGGAAGGTGATGGAGGGGGATTAAAAATTTGTGTTTGGCAAAAATTATTGGAAGGAAAGGGAGGGAAGGGAAGGGAAGGGTTTTGAGGGTTAACACAAGCCTTCAACAGTAAATTTCTTAACCTCCCAAAAAAGGGAGGAAATGAAGGGAAAGGGAGGAGAGGCTTGGTGTGTGATTTCAGATGCCAATTTTGCCCTTGACTACATGTAAATTTAGTTTGCAAAACAAGAATTACAGACCTTGATTAGTTGATTTAGCAGTTGTAGAGAGAGAGGGGGGCAAGCTTGAGAGTTGAGAGAAAGAAGGCCAGCGGCTGAAGCTTGCGAACGACGGACCCGAATCGAAACAGCGGGCGATGGAAATTGATATGGGTTTTGATTTTTTGAACAATCTGAAATGATGCCGATATGGGTTTTGAAGTTTTGATTCTTGCAAACAAATATATAAACTGAAATATATGGGTTTTGAACTTCTGATTCTTGTAGTAGTTAACTGAAATATATGGGTTTTGAACTTCTGATTCTTGTAGTAGTTTGCAGTTGCACAGAGAGATAGAGAGAGAGAGAGGGAGAAGTTCAGCGTTGAGAACGAGAATAGAGAGATGGAGTCGAGAACGAGAATAGAGGCTGAAATGATTTGCCCTAAAAAAATTTTGCCTTTATATAGGAGACAAATAGATATACATATATATATATATAAACTTATATTTTAAAAAATAAAAGAGCATAATAGTAAATTTATTAAAATAATTCTCCTTCCTATCCTTCCCTTTTTTTTCTCTTTCCGTTTCTTTTCTTTCATTAATCAACCAAACATAATACCAAATTAAAATTATCATTCCCTTCAATTTCCTTTCATTTCCCTCATAACTAATGTTATCTTTCTCCTTCAAACCCACTTTACCAAACATACCCTAAATACTTGCTTTGTGGAGCTTACTATGAATTTATTACTGATATAAATGGTACTAAATGTAATAATTGGAATTGTCTAAAATATAAAGGTTGCATGCTTTTAATAAATTGTACTAAATGTAATAATTGGAATTTTTTTTAAAAAAAAATTGTCTCAAATATAAAGGTTGCATACCGTTTCTGTACACTCTACGTATGTGGCCACGTCGTGGTTGAGAGCAGAGTGGTAATTCCAAAACTTAATTGAAAACCATTTCAGGTCCGTCCAATTAAACCTCACCCTTTCTCTTTCTTTTTTGTTTCTCTCTATGTAGCTGTACTCGTCTCTTTCACGTTCACTCACAATCTCTCTCACACACAGTCACACGAAACCTCATAAAAGAAAAGCTCCATCAATGGCGTCTTTAAGACCTCTCACCACCGCGTCAAGGTTGTTTTCCATGTCCCTCCGCCGCCTCCACCACCACCGCCACACTGCTTTTTCTCCCGCCGCCTCTCGCTCGTTCTGTACGGGCTACCCCTTCAAAGGAGATCATACCCAAAAGACCTCCGGTACCCATCTTCTTCTCACTCAAGTTAATTAATTTCTACCGTACTGTTAATTTCCTCTGCAATCTATATATATCTACAATTCTACATATATATATATATATATGATATATCACTGCTGTTATATATGTGATATAGTGGCAGGGGAGCCATATCGTGAGTTGAAGCTGGTGAACGGAGGCTTCTGCTGCATCAGATTTGACGTACCGGGTCTAACCACAAAGGATCTGAGTGTGTGGATGGACGATTCTGGCGGTATAAGGGTCGAGGGAAAGTGCCAGAGTGAGCCCAAGTATGAGGAGGAGGGAAGGTTCTACGGAGCCACCATTCCACCATGTCCGATGGTCTTACAAATGGACCAAGTCAAGGCTGAGTTGAAGCATGGTGTTCTCTGGATTACCATCCCACTTACCGAACATGCCAAGGAGCCAAGAATGTTCCAAATGTTGCAGAAAAGTGAGATTTGATCCATCTTTGATTTGGAATTTTAGGTTTTTTTTTGAGTTTTCGGATATGGGTTCTTGGTTGATTTTGTTCATTTCTGTTTTTTAATTTGTGAAGCTGTCAAGGTGCTACTGGGAAATCTGTCTGAAAATGACAGCTATGTTTCATATATAATATTTGGATGAATGAAGTAGTACTCTTTGGTTTGAAGTTAATCATTGTAATTTTTATTTTCTATCACCTTTTGTTGAGGAATTTTCTTTTGTATTTTACAATCAAAAAAAGATAGTGGTGGTTGATACATATGTCTTGAAAAAGTAGTGCTATTTACCGGACTGAAAAACCCTAGTCATATAATGGCTCCATGTGGCTGTCTACTGGTGTAGAGTGGGACCCATTTTAAATTCATAAAATCGTCTGCCCATAGTTTGGAGAGCTTTAGGCAGTTCTTTGGACTGCAAATGTATATTTTGTTTGGGCCTAGTGGGCCAATTTTCTTTTTGGGCTGTATACTACTTTATATTTATAAAATTTGAAATTAACCTTTCAAAAAAAATAAAAGTTCGATAAAAATTATTGTATTGAATATAGAATAATTCCACAAAGGACAGGATTTCTCTTTTGAAAGGGGAAAAATAGTAAACTTTGAATAATTATGAATGAATAAACCTTACCTGGGTTTGGTTTATGAGAAAAATAAGAACATTAAATAGCCTCCAATCCAAAATCTGATCCACATCAACAAATCCCATATAAAAGGTCACAATCAACATTCTCCTATCCGAAATTTGAATACAAAATCTCAAAAAAATAAATTAAAAAGAAGTGCAGAAACTTATCCGTAGAAGTCACATTTTTCTCTCAGAAAAACATCTTTTTTTCCCCTCTTTAACAACCTATAGCCATAACAAGGTTAACACAGACCTTCAAACTATTCTCAATTTTTTTTTTTTTTTTTTTGGAGTGAAAATTTTCTCTGTTCTCCTTCAACAATGGTTTATAATCCAAGAAAAAAAAAAAAAACAGTTCCATTTGAGTCTTTTAGTGAAAAAATAATTTTGTAAAGAGAATAATTTATAGCAAAAAACAGAGGAAATTTACAGTCTACAAATAGAGAAAGAGGTGAAGAAATCACCGAGATACATCTCACAGTGAAAAATGGTGACAGAAAACGAGGAATTATAAAGAAAAAGGAGGGATTAAAAAGGAAATTTTTGTCTAACAAAATATAATGCATTTAATATGTCATGAAGACTTGGTACTGCTAATAGTGTATTGCCACGTTAAAGTAGGTTTTTCAATCGGTATGAAATTGTCGTAAAAAATATCATGTTCTTTTTTTATTTTAATCGTATGAAGGACATTTTAGTTATTTTATGGCTCCATCAATGGCCGAATGAGGGGAGGGGAGGGGATTTTCAAAACCTATAGAGGGTTATATGAACTTAAATGCATACTGCAATGGTGTCAAATACTCGGGACCCTTTGAAATAATTAAGAGCAATTAATTACCTCTAATATATATATATATATATATATATATATCATGGTTCACTATGTAACAAACTCGGGCGAATATCGTTATAAACTGGCTTAACTAACCTGTTCATAAAGATGTATAATGGTATCGACCTTTGAATATATCATAGTTCCCCGTATCGCCGATACATGATGTTGCGTTCAGTTCGTAAGGTCCGATACCGTTATAGACATCCATGAATCGATCGTTTTACACCGATATTCACCCGAATCTGTTACATCACGCTCGCAAGCAATAACGCAACCGATACCGCGATTGCAAACAATGATTATAATAAACAATAAACACATTTGTATATATGTAGCTTTATATCTATTTATTATTGACAAAGAATGTACAAAATCTAAAAAAAAAAAATTAAAATCATGTGCTTCAGTCAAAGATCAAACACAATTTCATCCAAGGCTACTAACATAAGCAAACCAACTTAGAAAAAAAAAAAAAATAAAAATAAAAAAAATTGCTGGATCTAGACCAGAAGTCTAGAACCATCTCTAACTCCTATTAGTACATTCATACCTAATTATGTGAATAAATTTTATACTCATGGTCGAATTTAACTTTACAATAAGGTTGCATACAGTTTATGTGGACTCTACAGTCCAATTACATGGCCACGTCATGGTTGAGAGTACTGTGTAAATTTGTACACAAAACTTAGTTGAAAACCTTTTGAAGTCCATCCAATTAAAAATCTCTCTCTCACTCTCTAACCAGGACTAGAGAGAGAAAACACACAATGGCATTGTGCAGAAAAGCTGCAACCGTTTCAAGCTCCCTTGCCATCTCCCTCCGCCGCCTCCACTTCCACCACCGCCTCGCTACTTTTTCTCCCTCCGCCGCTCACTGGTTCAGTACAGGCCACCCCTTCAATGACGAGCACACGGAAGACCCCGTGGGTAGTAATCATCATCATCTCACTAAATTAGTTTCTACAGTACTGTTTCCTTTACGATCTATATCTATATACATATATATATGTTGATTGAGGAGTGTGTTGTTTATACACAGCAATGGAAGAGATTTATCCGAAACTGGTGAAAGACAGCTTGTACTGCTTCAAGGTGGAATTGCAAGGTCTAACCTCAGAAGATCTGAAAATATGGGTGGACGAGAACAGAGATATAATTTTCGAGGGAAAGTGCAAGACCCAACCCAAATTTGGTTATGAAGGAAGGATCTACAAAGGCATCATTGAAGCCAAATCAAAGATGGACTGCGATGTGGATCAGCTCAAGGCTAAGTTGAAGCATGGCGTTCTCTGGGTGACTGTCCCGCTCAATCAAGAGGCCAAGGAGAAGACAATGAGCAGCCCACGCCAATTCCTCTCGGCCTCCGCCGGGAAGGTATTCTATACTTGGTAGCGATCAAACCCTAGAAATTTTTTTTTTTTTTTTTTTTTCCCCCGAGAAAAGTTTGATTCGTCTTCGATTTGGGGTTTAGGGTTTCTATCAATTGATCGATGCTGGCTTTTGGTTCTTGTCTGCTTTTATGGGTTTGTTTTTGGATATTGTTGAATGACCATGAATGTTTCGTTTTGGGGGTGATTTAAGTTGATTAATTTCTAGAAATGTTAACTTGTGGTTAATTTTATATGTTGTGCTCTTGATTTCATATTTAACTTCTGTTGCAGTTGTCTCCTCTTGAATATACATACATACATATAATTTATATACGGAGTATATACGTTTATATATATATATATAATACTTATGAGGTGAGGAGCAATGGGACAAAAAGTGAACCAAACCGTCTAAATTGTCCGCAAATTTATATTCGTGGCAAGAATATTTTTTTATATTTTTATTTTTTTTTATGGCAAGATAAGAGGGTTATGGGTTACTAGTTTGAAGGGAATGAGGATGGTGTTTGTGTTTGAGTGACATAATTAAGAGAGTGTCTCGCTGTCATAATGATCGGTTATTTTTTAATGATAAAAAAAATTATTGGCGTTCATATAACTCATATCCGATCAATTAGCCTAATCATAGCCATGGAATAATGTAAGAGCACCATCAAATATCGAACTAATCCACTAATGCAAAGACTTGTTACTTACGAGCAAGGATTCCAATTTTTGTATTTTTTTGAAGCGTTATTACTTGTTTATTATTGACAAAAAAAAAACACACCGCATATAATTATGGTAGAAATTAAGAAATTGTAGTAGATACTTTCTGCTTTCTTAATTATTTAAATAAACTTTATAGTAAGGTCAAATTTTTCGTGAAAATAAGCAATAAATTAGTTACAACAAGGTTGCATACCGTTTTTGTACACTGAAAGCTCCAAGCATTTGGCCACGTCGTCACATCGTTGAGAGTGCCCGTGAGGGCATACCTGTCATTTCATATCCAAAACTTAATTGAAAACTCATTTCAAGTCCGTCCAATTAAGAACCCCCTACCGTCTTCCAATCAAGGAAGCATAGTTAATTCTTACCTGAGAATAGTTAATACTTAACTGAATTAATTATGATAAACTAACTAATCCACTTATAAATTATCAATAGGTTATTGGCCTAGGGATATTATTCTCTTACTTTTTAAATAAATGTTAGAGATAAGGAATTCGAACATCAATGGAGATATGTGTGTATGAGTATCAACTAAAAAAAAAAAAAAAAATCACCTATAAACTACTACTATATACCAATGTTTACATTCACCTGAGTTAGGCACATGCAATTAATTAAAGTTTAGAGTAATTCAGTAAATTTATTGAGCTACATATTGTCATTGGTAACAACTTGATGGTCAAGTCTCTAGTTCTTATCTTTTACTTAAACCATCATCTATGTCAAAATCAAAGCCTCTGGAGCGTTTGAGGGTTTAAGCCACACATTGGAGCAATAACAATCACAATTCACAATACACATTATTACAAAAAAAAAAAAAAAAGTATATATATATATATATATATATATATATATATAGAAAAATTCACAATTCACAACTAAAATTATAAATTGGAATTCTTCTTGATATTTGGAATAAAAAAAATATAAAAAAAAAAAATTGAAAGAGGATAATTTTGAAATTAAAATTCAGTACCTATGAAATCCTACTGTTCCAAACACACTTTAGCCACATGTGACATGCCTTGATGAATAAATTTTATGCTAAGGTCAAACTTTACATGAAAACAAGGATTTTAACTATAACAAGGTTGTATACATTTTGTGTACACTCGACGGTCCAAGAATGTAGCCACGTCATGGTTGAGGGTACCAGCGAGGGCATACCTGTCAACTCATATACAAAACTCAATTGAAAACTCATTTCAAGTCCATCCAATTAAAAAGCTCTCTCTCTCTCTCTCTCTCTCTCTCTCTCTTTCCATAACCACACCAGATAGAAATTAGAGAGAGAGAACACAAAATGGCGTTGTTCAGAAAAGCTGCCACAGCGTTTGCCATGTCCGTCCACCGCCTCCACCGCCATCACGGGCTCACTGCCTTTTCTCCTTTCGCCGCCCACTGCTTCAGTACAGGCTATCCCTCCAACCCATGTCATCCGAACAACCCTTTCAGTAATCATCATCTTCTCACTTCTACATTACTGTTTCCTTTACGATCTCTCTCTCTCTCTATATATATATAAATACACATATATAAGATTCATATAGTGTACTGATTAATTGTGTGTGTTTTAATTATATATAGGAACGCCTACACATGAGGTGAAGATGGTGGATGACAGCTACATCTGCGTGAGGATTGACGTGCCGGGTCTGACCTCAAATGAACTGAAAATGTCGCTGGACAAGCACAACTTCATAAGGTATGAAGGAAAGTGCAAGAGCGAAGCCGAGTATGAGGATGAGGGAAGGTGGTACGGAGGCACCATTGAATGTTCTCCGAAGGACTGCCACATGGACCTGCTCAAGGCCGAATTGAAGCATGGCGTGATCTGGATTTCTATGCCATTGAATGAAGAGACCAAGACGCGCCTCAAGAAGCTACGCCAATTGGGACTTCTGAAACGTGTTTGATTTGGGGGTTTTGGGTTTTCTATCAAATCGAACCCTTTAATTTGATTTTGGTTCCTTTTCGATTTCTATGTTTCTGATCCATCGATCGTCCATTAATGTGTTCGTTTAAATGCTCTAGAGAAGCTAGCAATGAGAAAATTTTAACTTTATTCTGCGCTTTTCTATTATTTTATTTTTTACTACTATTTTCTTTTCCCCCTATCTGTTAAAAAGACAAGTTTACTCCTCCGTATTTGGAGTAATTTTTAATTTACCCATTAATTGTTGCTGCTTAGTCAACAAATCAATTTGTTAATGTATGTTTTTGTTTAGTTTTGGATCATATGCATGCTTATTTCAATTTAATGAAAATTTTGTTTTATTTAATCGTGATACTGTGATAGAGAGACAGAGGCTTTAATTAATGAATTTTGGTTTTATTTAACCACTTGAGATTGACACAGATTGATTTTGGTTTGGAATGAAATAGGCTGGACAGGGGTAACCCTGGTACAATTTACAGAAATACAAGATAAAATGCAAGTTTTATGGAACAAGTAAGAGCATCTTCAGCAATATGTTAACCTATATTACCACATCAAGAATGTATAAAAGAGTTTTGTATTTTACACAACTTTTTACATGGCCAAATCAACATATTTCATTTTTTATCCATCTTTTTCATTTCATTAAAAAATCAACCATATATTAAGTAAGTCTGTAAAAGTTAAGGAAGTCCTGGAGATGACACATGGTTGATTATTATTGGGAGATATATTTTAACACAAAAGGTATAAAACATCCGTTGGAGCTGTAAATTCATTCTGACACATCAGATTTGCACAAATAATATACACAACAGTTGGAGATGCTCTAACTAATTTACACAAAATAATATAGACAACGGTTGGAGATGCTCTAAATAATTTTTTAATCCACACAAATTTATTATTTTATACTCTTTTTTATTATTTTAATTATTAATTAAGAATTAATTACACTTAATTCCTCGTACTATTTGTTTTAGTGACACATAAGGTCCCTCGTATATAAATGGAATTACATCTTACCCACTCGTGGATTCCGACTTATATAAATAACTTGGACTTGTTTTGCATGTATTCTTTAGCCAGGTAATATGAACTTAAAAATAAAATTTTAGAACCATAATAAATATTTATTATTGATAAAGAATGTATTAAATATCCAATAAAAAAACGTAGTAAAGATTAAAAAAAAAAAAAAAAAAATTAATTCTTAAATTTCAATGCATCATTAGATGATTCGCGTGGATATACCCAAGTGGATAAAGACTACAGATCAAACACAATTTTCTAAGAGCATCTGGCAACACCTTGGTCAAAGGGTCTTTTTCTCCATTTGGGCTCCCAAATCCGCGGGCTCGTGAAAATTTGGCGGGTCCACATGGCCTCTCGGGCTGACTCACGGAATACGGCGAGTTCGAGCCCGATCGCTATTTATTTATTTATTTATTTTTGATAAAACAACATCGTTTTGATCCGAGGAACCTTGTTTTCTTTTTGACATCTGGGAGCAACAGCTCTAGCGGGCCATAAGGACATATTTGGCAGTAAGTATTTTTGGAAAAAACCTAAAAATGGGTGATTTATAGCTCTCTTTTTTAAAAACAATAAAAAGAAAATAAAATTCATTAAATGAAAAATATATTTTTTAGGCAATGTTTGTTCAAAAAAAAAAAATTTTGATTTGGGCCAAAAATAAATTAAAATACCTTTTTTATTTTTTATTTTTTATTTTTCCTTAAAAAAAGAATTTTTTAAAACTTTTTTTTGCTTTAAATTTTAAATTTCAACCACAAACAGTACATGTGGCCATTAAGGCATTGTTTGGCTGTACAGTATATATATATATATATAGTATAACCCTATTTGGTTATAAACATAGTGCTATTCCAAATTATGTGCAACCCCATATCGGAATAAAATGTGATATATATAATTTAACCAAATATGACCATTGACTGTAGTCAAACATGATCGTTGGAGGGTAATTTGGGCATTATAGTTTACCTTTTTTATGATGTCAACAAAAAGTATCTCTGACCATTTTTGACCGTTAATTGTGGGAGGAGATTGATATGTGTCAAAAAAAAGTAAGGGGTCTGACTGAATTTTTGTAAATGTGGGGAGCCTTTGAAAATTTGACAAACCACAGGGGTCTAATTGAATTAAACCCTTTTTATTTTCTATCACCTTTTCTCAGGAATTGTCTTTTGTGTTTGGCAATCAAGAAAAGATAGTTGCGGTTGATAACGTGCGCCATATGTCTTGAAAAGTTGAAACAAACTAATTGACGGAACATTCATGTGCTGTTAATTCTGAACCATTATATGTGTTTTCTTGAGTGATACACATTGGCTTTACAAAATTTTCAACAAATAATTGACGGAACACTTTTGTGCCGTTAATTCTGAACCGTTATATTTGTGTTTTCTTAAGTATACACAAAAGCAAACTTACTATAACTTTCCCCAGAAGCTGCGAGAATGTCAATGGTAAATTCTGGCTTCTCTCCTCTTTCTTTAAAAATTATGGCTCTCTCGTCTTTCTTTAAATAATCAATACTTTTTTGTTTCTTGACAATCAAACAGTGTCATACATACATAATACAATATTCATACACTATTTATCCATAAATTTTTCTTGCAATTTTCTTGGAAACCAAACAGGCCTCATTTTGCTATAATTGACTGCTAACAGCGATACTCGATTAAACATGTCTGATTTTGCTATACATGTAATAGTACCCACACACTATTTATCAACCAAATTTTCTTTCAATTTTCTTGGAAACCTAACATGCCTTATTTTGCTATAATCCATTTGTTTGGTTAAACATACCTGATTTTGCTATTTTTGCAAGTGTTGTTCATCACTGCCAAACACATTGGCACACATTATATTGAACATTACCCACACACTATCAATCCATTTTTCTTGCAATTATTTGTTTAAATAATCATGAATAGGTAGAGCACATTTCTTGATTGAAGAGTTAGTAAAAAAAGAAGAAGAAAGAAAGAAAAATTGAAATAATTGCTTCATTATTCTACCTATCAGCTTTTGGTCCCATTTTGGATTATTTGCCTCATTTTCAGGACAAATGTTACGAGTTGACATCACTCCCTCAATACACAACTGATTAAAACTTTATACACATGAAGTAATCGAGTCTTTCTTGTGATCCCCTCTTGGTGTGTGTGGTCAGATTCTCAGCTGGAAGTGCTAATTCCAAAATTGGCTCCTTTTAGAGTCATAAATCTCCACTCTTCAGTAATCAAGACATTCAATCCAGAGGCTCTTTATTAATTAGTAGAAAGCATGATCAAAGAAACTCAGAACACATTTACAACTCTTCATTAGTCACACTTAACCAACCAAGATTTTCCAATCCCAATCTTTTCAGTAGGCCTATCCCAGCCTTTTCTAGTAGCTTATTAATGCATGACAGAAGTTTTATTTCCTAGCTTTAGGAGTATAATAGTAGTGGATGACGAGTTTTTGGAGACGTACAACTTGGGGCTAGAAGAGCATGTAATTTTCCATTACTACACTACCATAGGAAAAGTTGGATTTTTCCGAGTTTTAATACGCCAAAGTTCTATCTCAAGCTAAATTCCTACGCGTGACTATTTGTGCTTACAAACTGGATTCAGAATGTACATTGTCAGAAGAGGTTACATCAGGGTTGTTGATATCACTATAGTTGTTGCTATTTTACCTAGGTTTGTTGTTTTGTTTCATCCCCTGTTCAATCGTACAAAGATGAATAAACTGAAGAGTACAATAATCTTGAATTATGCATTTAATTCGTGTTTTTCTGTAATTTTTCAATCTATAGATTCAAAAGTAAAATCCTCCTTGTTCATGTATACAACAACTAAATAATGTTTTCTAATTCAATGCCAATGGCTATGACATATAGGATGAATCTTGGATTATGCATTTAGAAATCACAGAAGAAAAATGATTCAATTTTTGTATTCAATTTTTGTATTTTGATACATGGTTCCACAAACTAATTTACAAACAATTAGAAATCCATACATACTAGATTTGTGAAAATCCTTTAATAGTAAAAAAATGACGAAAACACTCTATCTTCTTCTATAAGAAGCAAAAAACACTCTTGTTCATGAAGATATAAAGAATTTCAATGATAGCTCATATTCTGTGTGTTTTTCAGACTCCTGAAATCCATAGATTAATATTCACACACTAGAGCTAGTTAGTAAAAACCTTAAGAAACAAAATTGCCACATTGAGAAAACTGTTAAGAGTGAAGTAACAGTAACATGTTACAGACCAACATAGTTTTTCACCAAAAGCTGCATTTGAGTTTTTCACCAAGAACTTGAAATTACATGCATTATATATAATTTTCTAATGCCAAAGCTTGTTTGTCTTTGGACAAATTGCATCATTGGACAAATATAGGTATTGTATCATTGGACAAATTGCTGTATATGCTAAAATATAGGTCGGGCTGAATATAGGTATTGTATCATTGGACAAATTGCTAGAAGCATTTTATCACCCTTTATATCTTGATATTTCATGAAACGCTATGCTATGGTTACCATACTCTAGGGATATATATAGTCCCAATCATCAAACAAAAAGAAATCTACAATGCTAATAAATTTAATATATAAAACATTCATTAGGTGAAATTCTAGTCTAAAATATTCTACTAGATTATGTAATTTTTTCTCCATATTTCTACAATTCTTGAAATCAAATAAATTATTGTATATGCTACAATATATACACATGGTGTACAAATACTATTAGCATCGATCAATCATGTGCTTCAATATACTAGAGAATTGGTAAAGTCTCATGTAACTATCAATACATTAAACGTATGCTTCAAAGTTAATAGTCTCATGGAAAATAAACTAGTTTGAAGTGTCAAAAGATACAGGAGAAAATTACAAAATTTTTCAAAATGTAGATGATAGAATGAAAGGTGATGAAATAAAAAAGAGAGGCGTAAAACAGAAATATGATTCCAAAACCTCAAAACTATCTAGTCTTTTTATAGAGTTATAGGTCTGCCATATTAAATATGCAGACTAAGTTGATGGCAATAAAAACGTGTGATCGTGTGAGTTAAATTAAACCCAACGAAAGGCAGATTTGATTATATGCGGCCATGTGGGCTAGGTTAAACTTCAATAAAAGGGTCATCCATCTTTTAATAAAAGATATTCAGCTAAATTAATGGAGGATAAAATTGGGACAAATAATTTACAATAAAATTGGGCTCATATACGAAAAATATTGGACTAAAATTTTTAAAATCATATATTTATAGTTGTAAACCAATATTGCATGATTCATGAATATTGGCAAGTTTTGGCATTGCTTGGTGCTGAGAACAGTTTTCTATTATGTAAAAAAAAAAATTCTGCTTAATTCAGTTTTCTGAAAACTCAGTTATAAAAAAACGTGTTTTCAAATAACTGTTTTTTATTATTCTCTGAAAACTGTTTTCTATTATCTGAATTCTTGAGAACTGTTTTCAGAATTACAAACCAAGCAAGTCATTTGTTTTCCTTAGTTTCTTGAGAGTATATTTTTTTTAAAAAAAAATTAAAATTAAAAATTAATTCTGTTTACTATTTTTTGAAAGTTTCATCCGTATATTTCTTGTGATAGTGTATTGAAATTTTATTGCTTTCAATAATTGGGATGTTTAGGGTTTTACCCTGACTAATTTTGATCTGGTAAAATTTAGACTGTGTCCACATGCTTGGCCCTTAAAGAAAAGTTTGCACAAGAAGGAATCGAACCTGAGAGTTAAGACCTAATCTCATGAGACACTAAGACCCAAATCTTTTTCAACAGTATGAATTTTTTTTTTTCAGTGATCAAATGTAGGGTATAAAGAACAGTTGTTATTTCACCACCCATAGTTGATGTTGTTTTAATTTAATTAAGCGATTAGCACTTGTTTGACTCATTTTTTTTTTTTTTTTTTTGAAAATTAAAGCAATTACACACATACCCTATCTCCACAGAGTTTCGAAACCTGGACCTCCCTTTTGGAGGGAAGGGGAGATACCGCGCTGGGCCAATTGGTCATTTGGTATTATTTAATTCATTTTACTGAGAATGGCTATGATAGGTGAAAATTAGCAGACAATTCAAAAAATATTTTTAAAAGTCATGATTCCATAAAACAATCTTTAAATACATTTATATCTGAAATTCTATGTGAAATGTGATTTTTTGTTTTTTTGAGAGTTTCGAGAACTATTTTTAAATAGCTTAACTGAAGGAGCCCTCAGGCTCCAGCCTCTATGAAATGGTAAACCTGATTTACATATGCCCACGAGAGAAGCCTGCCCCTCAGATTGCCTGGAAAAATTTAAAATTGCCGAAATTGCGAGCTCTTGCAATATTGTCCATTGTTTATTGTTGGGTTAGTTAGAATGTACCAAGAATTTTAAAACAGTCGTATATCCTAATTTTTAAGTTGTTTCATTTTATTTTTGGGACAGTAAATAAATAAGAGTTATGGACATAAGATACCGCAATACGGAAAATTTTAAAAAATTAAAATATAGGTACCGGTAGGATAAGGTAATAAAATATATATTTAAATAATTATATATATATATATATAGAGAGAGAGAGTACAAAATTTAGAATATATTCATGACTGCATTTAGATTCACAATTTTATTAAAAAAAAACGCTATAAAAAATTATTGCATTTAGATTCACAATTTTATTAAAAAAAACGCTATAAAAAATTATTATATATATATATATTATATATATATATATATATATATATATCAATACTTCTTTTTAAAATAAAATTTGAACTTTTCATAACAATTATACCATGATAATATGGTAAAAAAAGTTACATCTTAATATTTAAAACTTGTTTAAAATTTATTTCAAAGTATATGAGAATTATCAAAAAAAATATATATATATTTTAAAATTATAGATATGTCTAAGAATTATAGATATGTCTAAGAATTATCGGACGCAATGTGCAAGTATAGAAGAGTATCAATATTTGGTACGAGCATGAAAATGTTTGTCACCCTGCAAAAATATATACACTTCTTACTTCGTCCTGATATAACATCAAAAAGTTAAATATGTCTTCTGAGGCTACTAGCTATAGAATTGGACAATCCTGAACCATGAGTAGACGTATTGCAAGAAAAACCTACGTTCATGGACTTCTTTGACCAAATTGGACTCTCCCCGGCTGCTTCAGTAGAAGCTCCCAAGTAATTACAAAGGGAACTGAAATTTTTTCTGCCAAGAGAAGACATATAAGATTCCTTCTGGCAAACACACAAGTGTGGAAGGCAGCGGGAGATGAGAAGTGACAGTGCACTATAATGTTACATGACTGCAAGTTTGAATTTATATAATAAATTATCAGAGCATTAAAAAAGCACAAGAATAAATATAAAACAATCATACATCATTGCTTGGTCTAGAAACAAAAGGATTGCATTAACTCTTAAAAGAAGGTCTTACATGTTGTAAAAAATATATCTACATTCAGTCAACACAGGAAAGTTCATCAACCCATATGAACCTAGAGGAAAATGAATTGATCCTACTTAGAAAGTATGGGTCAATGCTTCCCTTGTCTAATCGAAAAAGTCCCATGTCACGTAACTCACTGGGTCTATCTTCTTCATGAAGATATGCATCAAAATTGTCATCTGTGAAAAAAATTGAATTCCCTTTGAACCCATGTTTAGCAGCTGAATAAGATTTTGAGCAGCTTGTACCCAAGAACAACATTTTATCCCCTAAGCTCTTGATCTCAACCCATTGTGGAATGCTGCAATCTAACTTGAACACCTTGAACTGAACAGTTCGGATAGGGCACAATATTTGTCTATCATTCTCGGGTTCATAATTCCAAATTCTCAAAACCATAATCAGATCCCCGTTAGATGGCACCAAGTACATAGTTTGATTTTCACCTAGCGGAACTTTCTGGCCATCCACAAGGAATATAGGAATAGCAGTTTCACGATCTGTAGGAGAAACCATATTGATTCTTGTTACTTCACCACTTCCTAGTCCATTAAAGATGCTGAGGTTCTCATCTCTCCTGATGGCATATAACTTTTCCTCATAGAACACAGCATCTACATGTGAAAATCCTCTCTTAGTCGAATCCAAGATGGACCATGATGTGTCTCCTGGTTTACAAAATGCCAAATTCCCATAATAACATATTATCACAACCATGCACTTCCCAGCTGCAAGGTTATCAGAAGTGGGTGCACAAGATAAAATGGATTTTCGAATGAATATTTGATCATCAGAACCATATAATGGCAGAGTTGTCTGGGATGGAAGATGGATTGCGTCTTTATTGAATGGGTTGAAGAGAAAATTCTTAATCCGAACTTCCTTCGGCAACGACAGGATATGAGTGAAAAAACTGTTACTCTTAGTTGGAACAGCAAGAGACATCAGCAGCCAACCATGGGAAGATCCAACGCAGAGAGCCCCGCGTAACTCAGGAGGCATCTTTACTCCATGGACACTACCATCCAAGAGGCTGAAGAAGTTAATATTTTCTCTGCCTATTACTTCATTCAGCATTAGTAAAGGGACTGAAGGCCCGGTTGAATGTTCAAACTGCCACAAATTTGTACCATCTTCTTCAACATCATTACTATTGCTGCTCTGGTGATTCCTTCCTCAAAGAGGAATTGTGAGCTCACCACGATCAAAAGTCTTGTTCGATTGGAACTGAGAAAGCAAATTAAAGGGAAAGTTAATAAATTTGTTTGAAACAACCATGTAAGTTTAGGATCAATAAACTTAGTTGTTTGGTTCTATATATCATAGCAGTTTCAAATTCAGAACATTTGAGAATTGTTCAGACAAATTGGGGCAACAACATATATGACTAAGACCACCACTTTATACATAATGATCTGTTTTAAGACGTCTAAACAAATTAGGGCGGACCTATATGGTTGAAGATTTCATAATGTTTGATCCTAAAGAGCACTATATTTAACCAATTGAAAAGATATATATATATATATATATTCAAAATATTATGATAATTGGTTAAAAAATCAATAGATTCAAATTACAAACTCGTCTCATTTGTAAACAACAATCCCCACAAATATAAATTATTACGAATGGATGATGATTAAATAAGTAGGATGTAACGGTAGAGCATGGCTGAAGAATAATCCACACACAAAAACACACATTCATAGAAATTATTACGAACAGATGATGAGTCTAGCGGATCGATGTTTTCAGTGTTGTACTCTGAATCCCCTCTTTCGGTGATGGAGGGTTGTTGACCCATCAGCTTTCGATGCCGCAGCTTTGAACCATTCAAAGTCTCGCCCGAAGGAAGCCATTCACCCTTCACAACTTCCATGAAGACGATGGATTGCAAATATATATATAGTGGTTCTACTCTAGGGTTTCCACTGTAACAGAATGGTGATATGAACCCTAATTTCAATATGGATTGGCTGGAAATAAGAGTCTAATACAATTGGGGGCAAAAAATTAAATGGAGATTGAAGCGTGGTGGTCGACTTCACCACCAACTTTTTTTCTACTCTCACTAAAAAGAGTATAGAAAAGATTAGTTTTGACACGGGTGTGAGTCTGTGACTCAATTTTTTTCGGAAGAGTAATTACACTTCATATTATAATTTACCTTTGATTAGAATTTAAAAATTTTACGACCTTGTTATTTGATTTAGTTATTTTTAAATAGTTTTCAAAATTTTAAAAATATAAAACTAATTTTTCTACAACCCACAAACAATTGTCTTCTAAAAACATGTCCTTTTTAACCCATTTTTTTGAAAAAAAATCTAAAATATGGATGAATTGTATGTGAATAATAATAGTTTTGATTCAACCGGTTTGCTTAATTATAATAGTGATTTTACATAATTCAATTTATGTAAGGTAGTGAGTATCATGACGTCATATAAAAATTCATATTCAATTTAACGAATTCAATTTATTCAATAATAAGTCAAATACTTGTGTTTTTCTTACTTTTACTTTATTTGATTTAATTACTATTTTTATCAATCTCTTTGACAAAAAATTACACTAGTCTTGGTGAATTGAATTTCTAATAAAAATAATAACAACTGATTTTAAATTTACAATTTCTAAAATTTTTATTAAAAAAAAAAAAAAATCATTCTTTTTACGGTTTCACGGTAAGAAAACAAGGTTATCTTCCATGAAAAGCTTTAAAAAAAGAAAAAGAAGGAAAGATAATTATTCTTTATTGCTACTTTAAGAAGATTGGGACAAAAATCTTTATTGCAGTTTCTGAAAATCTTGCAAGAAAGCGGCTAGAAAATAGTAAAATTTTTCTTTCTTTCTTTATCATTACATTCCTTTTTTTTTTTTCTTTTTTTTTTTTTTTCAATTTAACTTTCTTGTCATCCATACGGAATAAAACAAATATGCAACTTTCTATGAGCACTTACTAAATTAAAAATGATTGGTATATGTTCAATTATCAGATCAGATATGATTGGTAATTAAAAGACAACGTGTTAATTTATTATTGGTCCACATTATCGGTCAGAATGGTGTACATCCTCACTAATGAGGATCTAAGTATTGTCCTTTTTGAAATATGCAATACATTCTAATTCACAAACAGAATAAACCAAAGTTGCGTACATACTCATTTTCTTGGCAACCAAACACTAAACCAACTGATTTTATTTTTTGGATCCGTCTTTACTTCTTGAAATATGCATTACTTTATAATCCACGAACAATTTAGAGCTTAGGTTAATTGTCAGAAATATCTCAATTTCGGTTCTGATCTTTGCTCATCATACACGCGCCAACACACATAAGAACAAAGTGATTAGCTTTACTCATATTTTTCTGTAATTTTTCAACCTATAGATTCAAAAGAAAAACCCTCCTCTGTTCCTGTGTGCAACGACTTATTATAAAAATACTATAATACCCTTTTATCTGTAAAATAAAATAATATTTAAAAACAATGCAAGGTAAGATTACTATTTTAGACCATTCCCAAACTCTTTTTCCTTACCATTACGTCTCTTCCACCCCTGCAAAACGGTTGCCTCTTCCACCTCTGCAAAACCCAAATTTTCTTCATCACCACCACATCCTCCTCCACCCCCTTCCATTAAAACCCATTTCCCAAACCAACAGAATCAAGGCCGAATCCTCCACCTTATTCTTCATCGAGGTCAAAGAACTCAACCCCAAGCTCCACCTCCCCCACTTCCCCTCCGCCGACGCCATCATCATCGAACGCACCTCCGCCTACACCGTCATCGTTAATTGCGTCTCCATGTCCCCTACTTCCCCTTCACCGACACCATCATCGTCGCCTCCGCCGACACCGACACAAAGTCCCTGACATTGAGAAAAGCCCATTGTCGTTCTTCACCGATGTTAAAGAACTCGACCCCAAGCTCTACCTCCCCCATTTCCCCTCCGCCGACACCATTATCATCGATCGCGCCTCCACCTCCCAAACTTCCCCTCCGCCGACACTATCATCGTCGATTTGTTCAGCGAAGACAAACCCGGTACATTAGTTCCAACTCTGGTAAGTTCTATTCCAGTCCAGCAAGCAGTACAGATGGCCAACCCACTATAGCGAGCTCTGACACTGTACAAACCAAACCGAGACCCAAACCAAGAATTCTCGGTCGGGCAAAACTCCAAGCAGCAACAAACTACAACCCAGAGTAGCAGCAGCATCACAATCTGGCATGCGCTACCATTGAAGCCGTTGAGCTCTGATTCAAGGCCGTTTTGAAGAGTTTCAGACAAACCCAACCTACAAACCCATTTTCTGTGATCTTCAAATCCTTCCATCAACGTCAACATCTCCATCATTAGCAACATCTTGGTGTTGAAGATAGGTCTTAGTAGGATGAGGAGATCGTTTCACGTAAACCAAGAAATCTGAGACCAGTATTCAAGTGGAGATCCAAGCAATATAAGGGACTCTTCAACAGCAAAGATTAAGAAAGGGAAGGCTGACCTTGGTACCCAGTGGACTCGAGCTCGACTATGTGAAGTTGTTAATGTAGTAGTTATCTTCCTTAAGGCTGATTAATGCTCCTATTTATAGTACTTACTCTCTCGGTCAACATCTCTTAGTCTTTTGAGTGAACCTGACTTTACCCAAGAGTTTGGGGGTCTCTTTTCCAAACAGATGGGACGTTGACAGATGGATCGCGACACTTTGCCCCCCAGTCCAAAGAGATAATGGCACTCCTTAATTAATACAGATCTTGTCAAATGTCTTTCGTAATTAATGCATTATTTATTACTCCTGGCTCGAGCTCAGATACCGACTGTCCTTTTCCCTTTGTATTGGCCTCGAATTGAGGCAATACCTTGGATCTTAGCCACCTATCCACATGTCCTCAGATTCTCGATCCTAGCATAAGAATGGGCCTCATCTGAGGTTCTGCCTTCTCGACCTCTCGAGGCCGCATTCTGACTCTCATTTCAAGGTCCTTCTATCCAAAGGAGGGGGGCTCGAGAAGAAAAAGGCTCCAGCAGGAAGCGACCACAAACAAGCAGAAATGATGGGCCCATCCGACTGGAGCGAGGCGCATCTTCAGGAGAAGAAAGGTAGCGACCCCCTCCTCGTTCAACAAGTCCAGTCACGGGACAAGTAGCTCGAGGATACTTAGTCCCCTCGGGGGGGAAGGCGTGCCAAATAAGTATTGGCCAGGTGTGCCCATTTTCAGTGGTGGCGCCACTTGGATAGATGCCGTGGCGCCATTATCAACAACCAGGTGTGCCCATTTTCAGTGGTGGCACCACTTGGACAACTATCTTGGCGCGATTATCAACACTTTGTTAGTATCTTCTTCGTCCATGGTGACCCGCACCGTATAGATGATTTTAATCAACCAGGCATAAGCCTTGTTTGCCTCACCTTTTATTCTCAAGCTCTGCTCTCGTCGCGCGTGAAGCTCACTGTTACTTGTTTTTACTGCATTCGGTGTGGGGGTGGGGGTGGGGGTGGGGGTGGTGGCTTTGGGTGTGGGGGTGGTGGTGATGGTGGTTTAGGTGCTGTAGAGTTGTGCAGTATGTCTATGGTGGCAGTGATGTGGCCAGGAGTCCCTTAGAAAATGAAAGAATAGGAAGAGAAGGGTAAATTAGGGGCTTAAAATTTATTTTATGTCAATTTTGACCAAAAAGTTGTGAGATGGATTTATTTGCACATTTTTAAAATTTTATGAACTGAAATGCATATTTTTAAAAAATAGGAACCATTTGTGCACAAAACCTATATTTCAGGGGGGTTTTCTGCACTTAACCCTTATTTGATTTAGTAACCTGCCGAACCATGTGACACCTGCTAAGCTAAACACACACACACACACAGATATTGTTTAACATCTTCAACAGCTGCGTTCGTGGATCTAATTTCACCGACAAGCTCTAAAAAAATCTTCCATACCGAAAGCCGTTTAACCCAAACCACCACTATCATCGCCGAAGTAATCCACTGCCACCACCATCATCCCCAAAATAATTGAATCATAAATTTTTTAAAATTTAAATAATTAAGATTGAACCAGTCTAGCCACTGCCATCACCGCCGTAATAACGTAACCAATCTAGCCACAAACATTTCTCAAACAGTTTCCAAACTGAATCAATTCAAACAATTCATACTAAAACACCCCAGCTACTGCAATCACTGCCACCATAACTTGAACAAATCCAACCAATTTCTCTTAAATAGTAACCCAATCGAATCTACAAACCCAACGTTACCACCAGCATAGCCAAACCAATTAATCCACAATTTTTTGAAAATTCAAATAATTTATATTGAACCACCTAAGCCACAACCATCACCGTTGCCATAACGCCAACCAATCAAGCCTTAAACTACTCTCAAACCGAATCGAACCCTACAAATCCACCATCATCACTGAACGACAACTTCGTTCATAGCCAGACCCTCACCGAGGTCCTCCCTGGTCTCAGTTTGTCAGGTGTATTCACCGTCTCTCTGTTTTAAAATTTAAGAAATCAAAGCTCTGCCCGAATCATCTCTATTCGACATGTTCCCGAATTGGTGGAGACTTATCTGAGCCAACTCGATCAACTCGTCACCCAGTCGCAGAATTGGCTCAGATGCTCAATCAGTCTTCCTGCCCATGTGAACAGCGAACTGCTCAAACGCCGTTGTAAAATCTAAAACCACTAGCTTCAACTTTGGCTCACCCCGAGTCTACATAAGCACCATCTTCGAGTACAGAAAGTGAACGAGCTGACTTAACAGCAAAACTCGTGGTGATAGAATCTTGATGCGCCAACCTAAGTTCACACCGGCGACTCTGATCATGTAATGTCTCGGATTTTTATAGATTTTTTTATTTTGTGTGCCTCGTTTTGCATGCCACGTGGGCTCAGGGGTTGTTTAGGTAATTTTCTTGAACCGAGGGTCTTAGAAATACATTTTTAAATTATTGCAAATGAATTAGAGGTAACGACGGGATTCATTTTAGAATTTTTCGGAAGTTGGGACGATTTTCGGGCTCAGGAACTTCTCCCGGTTTTGTCTTTTTCATTGGAGGACATTGTAGACATTTCATGTGCATTCCTAATGCATCAAACTTTGCCTTTTATTGAGTACCCATGTATTATTTCCTATTAACTTCATTCTTGAATGTTAAAGTGCAAATTGACATGATAGTAATTTGTTAAAGTGTGGAAGCATGCTAATGTGTGGACATATATGTGTTTGATCTCATGCTAAGTATATGTATTACATGATTTTGGTGCAAAGGTGCTTAATGTATGAATCCTAGTATGATTTGTGATGACATGAGATTCTATGATTAGCATGCTTATAAGTGGTTACAACAAAGTGCCATGTTGTGCTTGATTTAATTGAAAATGTTATGCTTATGATCACATTAATGGGAATTCCATGAATGGATTTGAATTCAAAAAAAAAATGTTATATTCATGCCATTGTTGCATAAAAAAGGGTTTTGAAAAGATTTTATAAAAAGGAACCGCATTTCATGAGTCTGGTGCTAATTCAACCTAGAAGGAGCGTATGCCGGTTTAAGACGTGAAAAAGTTGATACTAGGCCTCAAATGGTAGCTAGATTTGGAACCAATGATAGTTATTAATCTCACCTCGGTAAAGTTGGTTAGCGGTTTTCAAATGTGAGTTAGGGGTCGGTAGAGACCAAGTTTAGGGCCGGTGGAGGCCAAGTAAGGGTCGGTTGAGACCAACGTTAGAAAATTATAGGGTATTGCGTTGTATTATATGCAAATTTGCATTGAAATGTTTAAATACTAGTGTTGAGATTGATTCGTGAATTAAACGCTATGATAACCCCAACTTTGATCCCGATTTTCTTTTATCCCTTATATGTAATGTGTGGCTCAAGGGAGTCCAAAGTTGGTGCCTTAGGTATCCCTACTGAGCCTCCGTGCTCACCCCTTTCTTTAATATTTTCAAGTTATGACAAATTATGGTTGGTGACAGACCCTCATAAACATAGTTAGGGTTAACGGGAGCATCGTTTGATATTTTTGTGATAAATGCCTAGTTGATGTAAATTGTTGTAAGTCATTGTAATTATAACTGTGGGGGTCTAAACCTATATTTAAAATCTTTTGAACTACTTTTGATTCATTTGGGGTATGTATGTACATTAAGATTTGTAAATGAAAAGTGATTCAAAAATGTATTTTAGAATTTCACTTTTCACATTTATGCATGCTTATGAGTTGGGACAGGGGCAAGGAGGTCAAAAATTACCACGAGGGTGTTCGGGATCACGAACGAGGGAAAAAAGGGGAGAAAAGCCCATTACTGGGCTTATCTGAGGGTTCTTTGCTCGGCTGCGAGCTCTCGGCGCATGCGCCGTGGTGCCCAAGACAAACCCCAAGTGTGATACCCCTCGATTCTAGAGCCACGGGTGATCAAGTCCGAGCACAGATCCGAGGGATATCAGACAATTAATATGTAACCAAGCAAGAATAAAACTGAATTAAGAATAAAATAATAATGCGCTGAAAGAAACTAAAATGAAAATCCTCGAACCTTAAATAATAAATTAATATAATTTAAATCCGTACAACTCGGGAATCCACCTAGTGGACCCCTAATTCGAAAACTTTATATAAATTTACAGAATTAAAATCCAAAATCAAAATAGAAAGGAAATCCTATGTAACCGGAAGAGTGAGTGTCTGTATCTGCATCAACACGATCAAACTCTAAGCCTGGTACTGGCGAATACCTGAAAAATAGAAGTGGGTCGGGCCCACATGCAAGTTCCAATCTACTGCAATTCGTACATAAACCCGATACGCAGATACATCCTTGATAGCTCGGCAATATCTACAATAGTCCATATATATATATACACACTATAGGATGCTCACTAGCCTATAACATAGTTCAGCCTGGGTAGAAGGTGACATATAAAACACGCTTTTCAACGGCCAAGTACCTAGACCGACCAGGGAACATTAGCTATATCTAGCTACCCAACCTTTGCAATATATGCACCCTAACCGTGATCAAGAGACTCAAGCTCGTATCACGGTACCATAAATATATATATAAATTCCTTCCTAATGCAGAAAGATAAAACAAACATCTGTTATGTCGTTCAACTGTTTTAGTTGACAGGACATGCATCCATGTAGGATTTAACTGTTTTAGTTAATCCATTCCATATGTATAAAGGGGTAGGACTTAGCTTTTTGATCTAATCCATCCCTGATATGTCATCGTCTCATACCGATACATATAATGCAAATGATCCACCAGTGATGCACATTCATTAGAACATCAAGTATATCCATGAACCAGCATAATAGAAAACAGGTATTATTAAGATCCTATTATGCGTCCAGTATATGATTATAATCATAAAACTCCTGTTAAATTGTTATAGTACTGTTAAACAATTTAAATTATCCACATCCATCCAATTGACAAAACAAAAACTAAATCAGTTCATCAATTAACAACCATAGCAGGGTATAATGATTATCAGACTTATGAACTGAGCACAATATACCATTCAACCCAAACCATACCCTCATACTAGTTCATTTAAATCATTAAAACAATTATTAGTAATGCAAACCTCCTTAACCCCCTGACGGCATAAAATTTATGTTTGCATCATATGACGTCCTTTTAATCCTCCAACTTAAAACCTGTGCTTGATATAGTATAACACAGAGAAGTCAAACTGTACCTCATATAAGTCCCCAATGGTGCAATATACTAGCCCATTTAACTGGTGAAAATAACCCAGTAGTTAGAACTTCCTCCACTCCTTACAGCATGCAACTATATATATTTAAAATTACATGTCAACCACAACCACAACCCAACCAACCCTCTTGAGACTCATATATATCCTAGACATCATTGCTATAAAATCCCAACAATATCTGTTATATCAGTTCATTGAATTTGTGGAAACAACTAGCATTTCCGTCTCCCTTTCTTTCTTCCGGACAGCATACATATTACTAATGTTTATGTTCATGATGCCCCTTAGAATTAAACCCTAGCGTAAACCAACTGTTTAAAGGTTCCAATAGGTAAATTTTTAAGTATTTAGAACCCCCTTTATTTTCCAGAAACTCTGTTTAAGTCCCCAAGGTCAAAATAAATACCGAAAATACCCCCGAAGGGGTATTTGTTCAAGGGAGCCGGCTCCCCCCCCCCCCCCCCCCCATGGGAGCCGGCTCTTTATCTTCCAGAGCCGGCTCTCCCTCATGGAGAGCCAACTCTACTTTAATGGGAGCCGGCTCCCTCACTTAGGGAGCCTGCTCTCCCCCCCTGAGAGCCGTCTCTACTCCATGCGTCTTCCCTGCTTCGTCCGGTTGCCTTCTGCGCTTCCGGCGAAGCTTCCAGTCCCTGTCCCAACACTTTTAACATCCTTAGGGTCTAATTTAAATCTAAACAGTCCTAGAAACTCCTCACATTCCATTAGGAATTAAATTACAGAAGTTCAATACATAACCAAAATAGTTTATGCGTGAACCAATTTCAGTTATTTAAAACCGGCAAAATTCCAAGTCTCTGTCCGAATTGTTTTAAAACTTCTTAGGATCTACTTTAAATCCAATCAGTCCTAGAAACTCTTTAAAACCCTTATGAATTGATTATCAAAAACTTAACACACTCGGAACAGTTTTAAGACCAAACCAGTTACAGTTTAAACGAAAACAAACAACGGATTACAGTTTGATTTAATTATGCATAACACATCCATTTTTAATGTTTAATTAACATCCTGGAGTCTATTTAGAATGCATAGAACACAAGTTTACAGGAAAGAGATAGACTGAAACTTGCCTTTAGGTTTCGGTTTGAAGCCTTTCAACACCGTTGCTAAATTCTTCAATGAACTGTAGGCTACCTGCAACTGCAACTCTCCTACGGTTCCAGTTCTATCTCACCCTCAACCTCTTCCTTCCTCTGTGGTACACCCTCAGCCCATAGTTGAAAGCTTAATTGATTCGCCCAGTTTTCACTCTGTGTTTTTCCTTCCAACCCTCTCTATTTTCCCTCTCAATACACTTTTACGTGAAAAAGGATTTGTCTCAACCCTAGCAGACTTATAAGAATATATATATAGCCGTCCCAGGTTTAATTAAAACCTAACCTAAGTTGGCGTTCAAACCATATAAAAATAAAACCCTAATCCTATATTAAATACAAGACCAAAAAAAACAATTAATGTAGACAACTAACCAAAATAAGTCATACAAAATGCACGTCATTTATCATCAAATAATTAAACTAAAACAATCTCAATTCAACAATTAAATTAAATACACACAAATAGTAATAAATCAATTAGGCAAATAAAACAATTAAGCTAAACAAATAACAAATAAGTCCAATTATTAAATTAAAAAAAAAAATGAAATACAAATCAAAATTGAAAACTAAATTCCCATTCCCATTTTATCTTTTTGAAAACTAGGGGTATTACACCAAGCGCCCTCAGGGTGCCTATGGAGTGCTCCAAGGATGCCCATGGAACGTTTGGGGCGTGCGTTGGGATGTTTGTGGCACCCTCCGAGTACTCTGTGGACATCGACGGAGCGCTCCGAATTAGAATTAGGTACTATTTTTTTTAAGGTTTTTCGTTGGCCCTGAGCTTCAACGTATGGGTCCCACAGGATATTTAGGAGGCGTGGATCACTATGGCCCCACTAGAATGCGAGCGGAATAGCCCGGAATGACATTTTTTCCCTTTTTAGCCCTAAAATGGGTGACCTAGAACCAAGTTGTTTTCTTCCATTCAAAAATGAATCTAAGTGACTAGATATAACCTAGATGACAGTTATATGGTCCACAACGCGTTGCATGGTCCAAAAGGTCCAATTAGCCCTTATAACCCTAAGTGGACCGATTCGAGGACGGAATCGATTCTTTCATCCGTAAGTGAATCAATTTGATTAGTAATGACCATTATAGCATTATTATGACCTTTAGTACACTGTATTAGTCAAGATGACCATTTTACCCTTAGATGTTCCCGGGTCGGGTTAGGACCCTATTAGCTATCTGAACCCACGGGTTTTGGTCATTACAAATCAGGTCCTTCATGAGTAAAATTCTAGTATTGCCCTTATCGTCGTCCTCCTAAAACGTGTAGTGGTACGCCTGGTCATCGATAATCTGGTTTATTCTGAGCGAGTAGACGAGTTCCAATAGACTCGGGTCATTGGTGTTGATCGTGGTAGCGTGACCAACCCAGAAGATTCAGTTGTTGACAAGCATGGAGCGATTGTCACTGAAGTACCAGATAGACTCGATAATGACAACAAGATCTTATTGGGCTATATGATATCTGTGTTAGTTCAAAAGATAAGGTTTTGATACTTATCGGTTTCCTATTGTTGGCAAAAATTACAATTTGCCACCTCAATTAGGTTTGCAAATAAGGGGAGACCATAGGTGAGCACCTCTGTGTATGTGGCGCGAATGAGGTGGGGTTGGCTGTGTGATGTAGGAAACGAGATAACAGTCCCTTATCTCTTCGATGTGTTGTCGCTCTCCCATTAGTTGGTGAGATTTTCTTGCCATATCAGCAACTTAAAGATGACAAGTCTTCAAATTGGCGTAGTTTTATATTAAGGGCGAAATGGTCTTTTACCTTTTTCGGTGACCTGGTGGGGTAAAATGCAACGAAATAATAGTTCAGGGAAGTTTCTTGTAGTTCAAGAGGGTTTCTTACAAAACCTTAATATAGTTAAGTGGGTTTCTTGCATTTTACCCTACACACACACACACACACACACACACACACACATATATGTTTATTGTTAAGGTAAAGTGAAAAAATATTGTCCTTTTGCAAATAACCCCCTAAACTAAAAATTGCCCCCATGAACTATTAATTTGTTACAATTAAGGTCAAACCCATCACAAAAGACTATTTTCCCCTTTCTCATTAAAATTTTCATTTCTTATTAAATAATTTTTATTATCTTTCTCTTATGTAAATATTAATTATATTATTTACCTTAATTTTATTATACTAACAATTATCATAAATATGAAGAAAAAAAAGATAAATAGATTTGTAACTACCAGTTTTTAAATTGATTAACTTATTATTAAAACTTTATTATTTGTAATAAAACTTATTATAACCAATTTAAACATCTTTATGGTAAAATTTTGTTTTCTTTTTCATACAATATATTGATGAAAAATTAACTACATACTTTTAAAAAAATACATATTTTCATGTAATATATTCATTAAAAATGTAAAAATTAATTAATTTTTTTTTAAAAAAAATTTTGCTAAAATTTTTTATTTAAATAATTAATTCAATAAATTAAAGGTTAAGTTATGCAAAATTAATGGACAATATGTCATCAAATTAGTATAATTTTTTTTTCATAATTTATTTAGATAAGAAAAATATATTAATTGTAATAAAATAAGAAGTGACATTGGAGTATGTTCCACCAAATTGTGATAGTTTAGAGGATTTTATGCACAAAATATAGTTCAGGAGAGTTATTTGCAAATTCAAACATAATTTAGGGGTTTTTTTTCACTTTACCCTTACCTTATTATTGTATGAAAAATGATATTTTTGATAACTACTATTCACCCGGAAAAATAAACCGACACTACGTGTCAATGCTAGATTGGTCCAACTGGCGCACATCTTCTTCCCCTTTCTTCGTCTCAACTTTACTCTCTCATTTATCTCTTTCAATCCTCTCATCTCTCTGCGTAGAATCGACGGATGGTCTCCACTGTCTAACAAAGCAGAACTGAACTCTGAACGGCGACCACGGACAACAGAATAGTGGGCAAGGTCGGAGGTGAAGTGGCGACAAACAAGGATCTGAGCCGCGGTGGAGGACATCGGTGAATATTCCCGGACGTCAGCGGTGGAAACCAGAATCCGATTCATGGGACGGTCGATGAAAATGCCAAAAGAGCCATTTCCGGCTAGTTCAGCGTCTTTGATGACCTTAATTTCATCTAAGACGGCAGACGGAGAGTTGCGGCACCTGGACCCACACCACTGAAGTTGACTGGTAGGTCGGTGGCCGCTCGGTCGACAAGCACCGGACGTCAGAGACTGACGTCACATGAGACGTGTGGACTTAACGTAAGTTACAGTTGCCGGTGAATGGTTGCGTGTAGCATCAGCGATATGTGGCGTGTTTGGCACTGTCTAAACGGCGCTTACTAATGTAGCTCTGTGATTGGTGGACCACGGCAATAAAGACTGGAAGATCTGGATTACAGATTGAGCTCTTTGGATTAGCCGGAAAGATGGTTCCCGGAATAACTCGTCAACAAGAAGCACCCAACTGATTCTTTGCTTGCTTGTTTTTCTGTCGGAAAGATGGGTTCGATGGTTAGAGAGAGAAAGTGAAGAGGGAGAGAGAAAAGGCATCGGGTTCAAAAAAAAAAAAATTTGACACGTTGGACTGCCACGTATGACAGTTAGTATGTGTCGGTTGAATAGTAGTCGGGCTGAATAGCAACACTCTTATTATATATAGGGAAAATTACATATAAATGGAGTCAAAGTTCCATATTTACTTAGAGGCTGAGTCAAAGTTCCATATTTCTCTAAAATGGATTGCTGAGGTGGCACATGGTTTTTTACTGTTTAGAAATTGTGGTGCCTAAAATACCCTTCCGCGAAGGTACTACTTTTTCTTCGAAGGTACTACTTTTTTGAACTGAAGGTATTACTTTTTGGTATCCAGGTACCATATTTTTTAAACACCCGCGAAGGTACTACTTTTTCTTCGAAGGTACTACTTTTTTGAACTGAAGGTATTACTTTTTTGAACTGAAGGTACTACTTTTTTGAACTGAAGGTACTACTTTTTTATTAGGGAAGGGTATTTTAGGCACCACAATTTTCTAAACAGTAAAAAACCATGTGCCACCTCAGCAATCCATTTTAGAGAAATATGGAACTTTGACTCAGTCTCTAAGTAAATATGAAACTTTAATTCCATTTATATGTAATTTTTCTTTATATATATATAGTATACATACATACATACATACATATATATTTATATATATATATATATATATATATATGAAGAGTCCAATGTTGGGGGCAGAGTCCATACAGATGCCAGAGATTTGTCTCCGAAGAGAGGTGCAGTGTATTAAACATCTCCCACTACTCGGAGACTGATCGGTACTCTCCTCACAGTAGCAACATACAGTTGAAAATCGCCGGCTCACTCATAGGATTTCTTGCCCCAGTTCACAGGATTGTTTGGCAGATCCTGCATTAATAGCAGTTTCATTCCGTTAATTATGGTTATTTGCTTGCTTAATTAATGTAACGGTACACTAGTCATGGTAAGGGTGATGTGCAAAAAACACCCCTATAGTATACTTACAGTGCATATTGCACCCCTCACGTGCCAAAAATACCCCTAAACTATGACATTTGTGCAAATAGGTCATACTCACACATTTATGACTAAAATGCCCTTAGCTACACATTTAATTATATATTATATATATATATATATATATATATATAATATTTTGTGAAATGACTAAAATGGGTACACCACGCTTAGTTCACCGGAGGAAGAGAAGTTGACAACCCAATTCAGGACCCATGCCCTTACCTACCCAAGTCAATCTCCATTTTGCGATGGCGGCGCTGAAATTTCCGAAAGCTTGATGCGATGCTGGAGTAAGTTCACCGAGGAACATTTAGTATGAGTTTTAAAACTAATTGATCATTTGAATTGCTTTATTCAGATTCTCAATGCTTTTGACTTTGAGCATCATGCTGGTTACAAGACCAAACATCCAAATGATCACATATACTTTTTTAATGGAAAGACCATCCATGCTGTTGTCCAAGAGCTGAGGGCCACACCTAGAGATATGTTGTTTGAAGCGATTCGGAATGTGACTGGATCTCCTATCCATGAGAAGAATTTTCGTATTTGGAAACGTGATTTTTTTTTTTTTTTTCAATTGATTTGAAGTAACCTCTTTAAAACAAGCTTGAGAAATCAGTGCTGTGACCATTTTCTAAATGCATATAGGATAAAAGCATATTTCTCTATTTTTTTCTTACACAAATTTTTCATCTTTTGCTCTTCTCAGAATCGTATCAAGCTGCAACCAGTGAACTTCAGCATATCTATGGAAAGGAAAAAGTGACCAAGCCAACTGAATAACAAAATTTTGACTCTTTTAAACCTGCAAGGTTGGTTAATTAATACCTGAAATTCGCGTCGCTGCCTTATATCATTATAGTAAAATTACGGATTCAGTTTGAAATTTCAGATAGTTTGGCAGAGGAATGTTTAGTATACACTTTTAAGCATTTGCTAAGATGTTAATTTTATTCTGGTTATGGACCAAAGTTTCAGCGCCGCCATCGTAAAATAGTCACTGTGTTCAGCACGGCTTCAAGCTTCCGTTCTTGCTCCACCACTTATTATTCCCGCATTAGGCCGGAAATTTCAGTTCTCGCCAAGAGCCCAACGCCATTGTGGAACCTCATCGTCTCAACTCATGGACATTTCTTTCTTGCCGGTTCAGCACCTCACTGGAATCCCTACCCTCGCTGTCCGCCGCCTTAGATCCTCGTTGCTGCCATCATCTTCATCCTCGTCGCACAGGTCTGCCGAACTCATAGCCGAGCACAAAGCTCGTTGCACCTCTCACCGGTTCCTTGCTTGGCCGCCTTGTCAACCCGCTGAACTATACTCTGTTCTCATCGGTCTCTGTCCACAGCTCTTTGGAGAAAGAAAAAGGGTTAAAAGAGAAAAGAGAAAATGAGAGAAGGGGCATTTTTGGAAGTATAAAAGGGTAAAATATATTATATTAAGTGAGGTATGTTTTTGCACAAATTGAAAAGAATAGGGGTGTTTTTTGATCACCTTTTTAATTAAAGGATAAAAGTGCTATGAAATGTATACTTTACGGTGTTTCTTGCACTTACCCCGTCATGGTAATGGGTCTGTTTTTGGTCTTGTTTATGGGTCCTTGATGGGCTTTGTTTTCCCCAAAAGGGCTGTCTGGCCTTTTGGCCCACACTTGTAATTATTTCTTTATTTATGATAGGTGCTTAAAATTCCCAAAAAAAAAAAAAAAAGTACATACAGTTGAATTTAATATATAAATATATAATTTTTTTGCTTTTATTTAAACGAGAGATTAATCCAATTGAATGAAATTTTGTATTATTTACAGGAAAAAAAAGGAAAAAAAATTTATTAGTTAATCATATCAGCATCAACAATTCTTCTACGTGTCGCGCCAGTATTAATCCACTGAACCTCCCAGCCGCTTGTTGTTTCTTGATTGTGGACTACAGTGGTCACTTGCATGGCATTAATTGCATTGAGGAGGCCCCGGACGACATGGGCCGGATCCGACTCGCAAACACTACATTCAGTTCGTACAGCTGGGTCGGCCCATATAAAGACACTGCCATATGGGCCGAACGCGAGTAAGCCCATCAAAGGTGACCAGGGCTTATGGAGGAATAGGCCCAGATCCAGCAATCAGTAAATATCTTGTCAATATCTTGTAAATATCTATAAATAGAATAAGGAATGGAAAGGAAAGGGATCTTTTTGGGTTGAGGTGTAAGAATTCTAAAGAGAGAAAGAGGGGAACGAATTTCTTGCATCTTCAATTGGCGCCGTCTGTGGGAAACGCATGGAAGTTTGGTTGATCAATGAGGAATATCGAATGGATTCAAACCAATTCGGTTGATGGAGACTCGATCTTTGGGATTTGGATCCAGATCTGAGCGATTGTGACCTACTCTGGAGGAATTACAATTCTTGAAGCTTTGGCAGGAGTGACTTCAGATCTACGCAACAACGAGTTGTTCGATTGTGGCAGGATCTGACGGATTTAGAGTTCAGACAATTCAGATCTCGTAAACAGTGAGCATAATTCGGAGAATTAGAAGCCAGATCTAAAAATTCCTACTCACGAAGCTCGGATCTACTCGCGAACTTGAGATTAATGCCTTTACTCCGTTCGGGAATAATGATAGGTGAAAGCTCCAATCCGATGGAGGCTGTCCAGCAAACAAAGCTTGAGGAGTTGATGAACTTGATTGAAGCTCTCAAAAAAGAGAATGCAGAATTGAAAGCTGGAATGCAACATCGGCAAATACCTGCGGTTTCGCATCCACTTCCGGTCGGAGAAGGACGTGTTCAATCTAATATCGCGCATCAAGGCGAACAGGACGAGAACAATCAGTCAGCTCACCACCGTGATGAAAGGATGATGGACAATTTGCCGCCAAATGTTCGTCGAGTTGAAGATCACGAAGGATCGACTCACGTTGATCCGCAGCGGGAAAGGTTCGACCGAGAGGAAGTGATGGAGGTTGATCGCCGTCGAGTAGCGTCGCCTTGGCAAAGAGAGTTCATAGAGGAACGGTCGTTCGATCCGTCTTACCGGCCCTCCATGGTTACTATCACTCATCACGGTTCGGAGGGCAGAACCGTAACTCACAGAGCTACCGCTGGACTCCAGAGAGAGAATGAAGCTCTCCGATCCGCAGCTCGGACGGGGGATTCACCATTCACCGACGAGATCTTGAATGCCCCGCATCCAAGGAAGTTTGCTATGCCAGTCTTTATTCTGTTCGACGGAACGACCGATCCGATCGATCATGTGTATCATATCCAGTTGAAAATGGCCCTGAATACGGAAAACGACTCTTTAATGTGCAAATGTTTCCCTACAAGCCTAGCCGGACCGGCGCTCAGCTGGTTCAAAAACTTGTCTAGGAGCTCCATTGGTAGTTTCAGAAACCTGTGCGATCGGTTCATAAGCCAGTACTATGGGAACAAACGCCCGCCGAAGGACATCTCGAGCCTATTCACGATGAGGCAGCACAAGGATGAACGTCTCCAGGCCTTTCTTACCAGGTTCAATCTCACTAAGAGTATGGTGATCGAATGCCACCGTTCTACGGCAGTTCAAGCCTTCAAGTTAGCCATGACACGCGGAACTCCGTTTCACACCAGTCTGGTAGTGAACACGCCGACTACTATGGATGAACTCAATGAAAGAGCCGATGGCTTTGTGCGCCTAGAAAAAGAGGAGGCAGCTAATGCTCGGACAACGTCGCTTGTGTCGACCGAGGAAAAGTCCAAGGCAAAGATCAGGCAGAAGCAGGCTCAGCCGCAACGTCAGACCTCTTGGAAGGCAGAAAAAAGGTCCAGGGAGGAAGAGCTGATTACTCCGCTGAAGGTCACTCTGGCGAGGCTGTATCAGGAGAACAAAGATAAGTTTCATCCACCACTGCCAATTAGGCAACCCCTCGAACAGAGGGATCAAACTAAACATTGTGCTTTTCATTCTGATTTCGGTCATCAGACTAACGAATGCAGGAACCTGAGGAGGCAAGTGGAGATGTTGATAGCTAGAGGGGAGTTCGCGAGTTATGTTCAAGGTTCGGCGATGGAGCAGAATTGACCGGTGGAACAAATAAAAAGGAGTCATAAACAAAGCACCCACAATTCACAACCAGTTCGTATAATCAATGCTATCCATGGTCGACCCGAGCCTAGTGAAGAGTCAGATGAGCTGCTCCGAGTGTGCCTGCGGCAGGCGCAGATGAAGAAAAGGGTCGGCAGTGTGAATACTCTACACCAGCAGAGCCCGTCGATGCAGATAAAGTTCGACTGGACAGACCTGCAGCGTGTTCAACTGCCTCATAACGACCCGTTGCTAGTCAGTTTGACAGTGGCAGATTGCTTGGTGCGCAGAGTTCTGATCGATCCTGGGAGCAGTGCGAATGTCATGCCGAGGGACACATTTGACAGGCTCGAGATTAAACCAGAGAGGCTCAAGCCCACTGGAAATCCCTTGTTAGGGTTCGATGGGAAGAGGGTGGAGCCCGTCGGGATGGTGGAAGTGGAAGTTCAAGCTGCATAACGAGCTCTTATGGAAACTTTTGTAGTTGTGGAAATTCACCCCTCGTATAATCTCCTGATGGGAAGAGGATGGATTCACAGAATCCGAGGTGTACCCTCAACTCTGCATCAGGTCATGAGGTGCCTCGGACCCGATGGAGATAAAGTGATAGACATTCGGGGGGATCAGGTCGCAGCCAAAGAGTGTTATTCCGTCACACTAAAGCATGCTGGGAAAGGAAAGGCGCCCGTCCGTTCGGTAAGCCCCAGATAGCAATTACAGGAACCTCCGCTCGAGCAGAATAGGGTGGAGGAGTCAGTCGACTTGACCGAGGAGCCCCTTCTGGATGTGCAGATCGATCAGTCCAGGCCAGAACGAACTACCAGAGTAGGTATAAGACTGACCAGAGAAGAGCAGCAAGAGCTAGTGGATTTCTTGTCCCACAATGCCGACGTATTTGCATGGAGTCACCTAGACATGCCTGGAATTAGCCCCTCCGTATCCTGTCATTCCCTGAATGTCAATCCCAATTTCAAACCAGTGAAACAGAAGCAGCGAAGATTTGCTCCAGAACGTAATCAGATCATAGCGGAAGAAGTCGATAGGCTGCTTGATGCGGGATTTATCAGAGAGGTGCACTACCCTGAGTGGTTGTCCAACGTCGTTGTTGTGCAGAAGAAGAATGGGAAATGGCGAGTATGCATTGATTTCACCAATTTGAACAAAGCCTGTCCGAAGGACAGCTTCCCGTTGCCTAAGATTGATCAAATGGTGGATGCCACCACTGGGTATGAGCGTTTAACCTTTCTGGACGCTTATTCAGGTTATAATCAGATTCCTATGGACCCCGCAGATGAAGAAAAAACTTCTTTTGTCACCGAGCGAGGAACATACTGCTACAAAGTTATGCCTTTCGGACTAAAGAATGCGGGAGCAACTTATCAAAGACTTGTTAGCAAAGTTTTTAAGAATCAAATGGGTAAGATTGTGGAAGCCTATATTGATGATATGGTGGTAAAGAGTAGGAAGAAGGATGATCATCTGAAACATCTGCAAGATGTATTTGATGTACTAAAGCGATATGGGATGAGGTTCAATCCAACCAAGTGCTCGTTCGGTGTGAGTTCCGGACAGTTCCTGGGACACGTGGTCAACCGCAGAGGCATCGAAGTTAGCCCCGCTCAAGCAGAGGCTTTGATTAAGAATGCCGAGCCAAAGACGATCAGAGAGGTGCAAGCCCTCACAGGA